TTTGATTTGATTTGATTTGATTTGATTCGTTTAATAGGAACACATTTCGATTGATTATGATTGGAACAATTCTATCTGGTTCATTTTACAATGATCTGTGGAATTTGTATTGTTGTTTCAAACTGATGGCACATGATTGATTCGATGATTGGTTAAAATGGATATATAATAATAATAATGATGATGATGATGAACATAAAACAAAGAGAAATAAGCAAAACAAAACATGGAACAATCCAAACAAATAATCACATATTTCCTTATGAGAATTGAATCAATAAGAATCGACACAATCCAATTTGTCTGGTGAATAGTAAATAATAATAGGATGAATGTTAGAATATACAAAAGGAATAATAAAGAAAAAGAAAATACAAAAAAGAAAAACTAAAAACAAATTAGAATCATATAAGACAAAACAAAAGAAAAAAAAGGAAAAAAGAAGAGGAATAAAATGCCCAAATATAAGAAAATAAGAAACAAAGAAAACTAAAGAATAGCAAAACAAACAAGAATAAACTAAAAATCAAAATCGAAAATGAAATAATAAAATGAACTACAATCAATTCCAAAAGTTGAAAAACAACAACAACAAAAACAAAAACAAATGAAAAATGGAATAATCAAAAATAGATAAGCAACATCAAAACAAAAACAAAAGAATAATGAATCATTGAGTATTATCCAAACTAGTACTATCTCAACAAACAAATATGGATTGTGTCGATTTCTATTGATTCAATTGGATTAAGTGCAATGAATCTTGTCAAAACGATTCGATTGAAATCGTTCAATCAAGATTCATTCGAAATATGTGATTTGTGGATTCATCGGTGTACAATCACAAACAGCATATTGAATATACAATCAAACAATGGATTCCAAGAAAGATCATTATCGAAATACTCATATTCAAACCACAACACAAATGGTTCTCACAATATGCCTCATTATTGTATTGTGATTATCAAATGCTGATTCCATATTTACTTGTTCGAATGGGATCTAATGATTTGAATGATATCAATAATAATGATAATAATAATGATCAGAAAGAAAGCAAGAAAGAAAGAAATAAGAGTATTGTTATGCAATACAGTACAATGATAGATTCCAGCTAATACAATGATCGAACATAACGATTTCATGAATCTCGATCGATTCAATTGCAAAACAACCATTGAGACTACAATGTGTTTGAGTGATTGTTCCATTTGGATTCGATCGAATCAATTGTATAATTCTATCAGTCGATTGGATCGCTATCAATGAATCATTCGATCGATTCTATATCATTGATAATCGAACAAATACAAATACAAATACTACTACTACTAATAATAATAATAATCACGAGGATTGATGGTTGAATACTCTTCATCAATCTGATTCTGATTCTGATAGATCGATCCTATCCAATCATTCTATTCATGATCAACAATACCAAAGTGATCTAATGGTATTCAATATGATGAAATAGACCGATGAATAATGTGGATGATCATACAATCATAATGATAATAATGATGATGATGAATGGAGATCGAAAACTAACCAAATACACACCATTCAATCATTCAATCATTCAATCGGTCAATGGATTGAAGAGCCTTTCTATTCTTATCAGTATTATTGAGTGTGAATGATGAATTGATTCTTTACGATATTCAACATTCATTTGCATTTTGAATCAGCTATCTTTCATCCATTGATTGATTGATTGAGTGAATGAGTGGTTTGTGTGATATTGAAGAATCCGACATTTCATCCAAATATCGAATTGTGAAACCACGATTGATATTACTACTAACTACAACTATCAAGTATCAAACACATCCGATTTGATTCAATTATTATCAAATTGATAAATCCATGTTTTGTGACTCATTGATAAACAAACAAACAAATGATAGTTGGATTGATTGAATGGTGAATCCAATATGATTTCCAATTCTATTCAATCGGATTCTATTCTATTCTATTCTATTCTATTGTAGTTTCAGTGCCTTGTTTTATCCATTTCACCTTTATTTGATTCAGATATTCTATTCTATTCTATGTATACAGTGATCTATTCCTATTCAATAAGTCAAAATCAATATCCTAATTCAATATCAATCATTCTATTGTATTGTATTGTATTGTATTGTATTATCTACCGATTTAACAATGGATTCACAAATGTGAATAATCATCCAATATCAATCGATTCCAACCATTCCATTGTGTCACTAGCAAATCCAATCTTATTATTATTCATGATGATAATGATGATTATGATTATTCGAAGCAAGCAGTTTCCTATCAATATTGAACAAATCCTAGTTCAAACCTATTCAAACCATCATTTGTATATTATTATTATTATTATTATTATTGGTAGATTGGATTCATCATTTGTGAATGTTCAATATGTGATCATTGGGTCATTGGTAATAATAATGATCATAATGATAATAATGATCGAAAACAATGATTGATTGATTGATTGATTGAAACAACAATCATAATTGAGTATCATTGTTAAAATGGTAAAGAAGAACATCATAATAATCAGGCAGGATTGATATTTTGATAATTATAGAATCATGAATTGTGATCAAGAATCGGTTTCAAACAAACAATCAATCAATCAATCAATCAATGGAAATGTTCCTAAACAATGACGAATCACTGAACAAATCATATCAAATCAAAATCATAGATTTAATGCTTGATTTAGTGGACAAGATCAGCGAGAATGGAAGAAACATCTATGAATCAAATCCAATCAATCAAACTATACTCCAAATTGATTTCGATCGAACATACCCGAATGAACGACCCCACCCATTACCAGGTAGCTTGACATTTCGAAGATTTGGAATATCTAAATACTATCAATATTCAATATTCAGAAATACTTGCCAATGTCACTACACGAGGAGAATAGAAACTAAATAGTACAGAAGTTATTGATGTTAGATTTGGAAGATCTACAAAACAAATCATAACCAATCAATTCATTTGTACTTCGCATTATCAATGAAGTTGAATCATCCCATCTTCCAGCAAGTGCACCTCTACCGAGTTGAATGGATTGTAATGATGGAAGATCTACATCAATCATCTCATTCGAATTCATTCAATACTTTCAATTATTGTTGATAAGGAAAGAACAAATGCATTAGCACCTAATGTAATGGATTGTAGATTTGGAAGATCTATGCATCATTCAAATACTCAATATCATATCAATACCTCGAATCACAAATGAACTATAATAGAAATTGCGTGACCCACTTCCAATTGTACCAATTTGAATGGATTGTAATTGTGGTAGATTCTTCAATTCAAAGTCTCCTCCAAAATCACTGAAACTAGATTCACCAATTTGAATGGATTCCAATGATTCACAATTCAGTATGTGGAATGACTTCGATTCACTATCGCCATTTTCATCCTCCTCTTCATTTTCATCTTCATCTTCATCTTCATCATTCTTTTCCTGAGTGAATGAATTGTTTCCGATTTTGATGGTTTTCAATCGATTCAATCCATTGATTTGGAATGTTTGCACCGATCCAAAACATTCATCACCGATTTCGATTGATTCCAAATTATACAACAATGAAACATCCCAATCAACCAATACACAATTGTCAATCAGTTTCAAATGTTTCATTCCGATATTCAGTGGTTTGCTTCCATCTCCTTCGTATTCAGTATCACATTCAATTCCATTATACCATTCACATTCGTTTACTAATTTACCATATCGATCATACACTTTTCCAATACCAAATCGATTATCATCACACCAATATCCTTCATATTCAATACATCCATTATTATGATAACTCGTTCCATATCCAAATCGTTTCCAATTGATCATTATGCCCTTGTACACCAATATTCCATCATCATCATACATTTCACCATATCCAAATGGAATTCCCAACTTGTTTTCTGTCAATATCAATCCTTCAAATCGAGTTCCATGATCCAAATCCACGATTCCTTCTACTACTTCTATGGATTGTTCTTCATTATATGAAATAGCACCAATTTGATGATTTCCAAACACTTTCAACACTTTCTGCTCATTGACCACAAATCCTTGATTCATGAATACTCCATTATTGAATTGCAATACTACACATTCTCCATTACTCAATATGAGTGAAATCCAGCCATTTGGTGTCATTTCTTTACCCAAGCATATTTGCACATTTTGAATAATAGAACTATCAATGTGATAGTTACTGATAGCAGAATTGACAAAATCAACAATGTTTTGCATCGAAATGAAAAGAAATATGGTAAAACGGTTTTTTGGAAACGAGGTCTGTTTCATTATTTCTCGATAGAACACACGTCATGGATTATTGTGTATGGCTTTGATATGCTGGTGTGTTACAAACTAGAATACATATAATAAAACCTCATTTTCTCCACCCATTCCTATTTTTCTATATTTCGGTGCATTTCCATCTATTCATTTATTTTTGTGTTATTTTTAGATACTTATAGCTATAATTGTAAATTATTACGCATTTTGATCACCTTTACTCTCTCATGTCAGAATGGCTGTTCTATTAAGTCTAGAATGGATATATGCTTTTCAAAATATATCAATTATGTGGTATTTAATCTTGTTTTGCAACAATCGAACTCACAATAGTGAATACTGTTGGAATGGTTTGATTCGTAATAGAGAGTATGGCAGTAGTGTGTAGAATGCAAAATCCATCATTTCTATTTGACAAGTGGATTATTGTATTGATTCTCTGTTGATACTTCGATTCTCTTCTGTCACAATGACCATCCATATTGAGTACAAAGAATAATATTGCAGAGAAAGGAATGTGGTTCATAGATTGAAATGGTGAATAGGAATCATAGTATCATTAAACAAAACAATCGATTGAATAATATGATAATGGATGGAATCCATGAATCCTATGAATGAAAACCTTGCTTTCTATTTGATCAACAAAACAATGTGAAATGTAATGTGATTAACATAGCAATAGTATAAAATAAACAAGTAATATTGAGTGAGTGAGTGAATGAATATGCCATCCATCATAGAGATCTCTTCCACTCACTTCCACTCCATCTTTCCATTCCACTTCGCGAGTAGCAATCCGAGTTTCTTCATCGATCCAGTATCCTCGACCATTTCGAAGAAACGATTCTTTCGATTCATCATACACGAATTCACCCACATACAGGGGAATTCGATTCGAAGCGATGGTATTGTCACCGTTTCGCTTGAACTCGATCATGATAGTTCCTTCGATCTTGCGGATGATCTCCACCAGCTTGTTCCCCTTCCAGATCCCCTCAAGCAGCATGGCACCCGTTTTTTCGTCATATTGGATGCCCCATCCTTCCCTTTCTCGCTTATCGTTGAACTCACCGTGATAAATCAGGTGATCACTTGCATGCGAATAGATTTCCATTCGCTCGCCTCGGACATGGTTTATAATACGATGAAAATTCTTTCCGTCCCAGATATCGTCGAAAGATTGCACAAAAGCGACGCATCCTTTTTCAAATCGGGTAAAGTCGCCGATTTCACTCCCGTCCGCATCCAACTCGTAGCACATCTTCAGTATGCCATTTTGGAATAGGCAAACCTTCCCAGCTCTCGTCAACGTGTATTCTTCCTCGTGATCGCCTTGATAATATTGGAGGCTATACTTGCAGCCTCCAATAGTGATTTCCTTTGCTTTACCAAGCGTTATGTAACCGTCCAGGAGAAATTCGCTTCCCTTAAGTTCTTGCATTCTACCTATTTGGAATCACATATCCTTAGCCTCTACTCTTTGAAACCGTAATTTGTAGCCAAATATAAAGAATTTATGAAGAAAACAGAGAGATCAGTTTATTGCCGTACACCTAAGTATTCTTCATATTTAAAAATTATGATAGAGTGTTACCATATACACATTGGATCCAAGATTTCCAAGTGAAGTACTCACTTGTGTTTCGCATCATTTTGTTCACATTTTTGTGGTTGAAATAGTTCGGAGGTATAGATATTTATAATAATATCAGGATTGTTTGGAAACACTCAGAATGGAAAAGTCCATTTTGTTGTCTACTATGTCTGTATAGGTTGTATATTTATGATATCATAGTGAAATCGTGTTATGAAGCAAGGATTTGGTTGCTCACTCCACTTTGTCTAAATAGTCTATATTATCATTATTATTATCATTAATCTTATTTCGATAATCCAATCTATCCATCCATGATTCTAGCCAAATCATTTTGACTTGGGAATGGTTGGGTTTGAAAGCAATTAAAACTAGTAAATCTAGTAAATCGAATCGAATGGAATGGAATGGAAATTGGTTTTGATCCAGTGATTTTCACACAAAGAACCTATCTTCGCACATCGTTAACCATTCACTCCATTTTCTATCATTTCCTTATCCTAAACCAACCAACTAACTCTAAATACACTTTCTTTCTTTCTATCTTTCTTTCTTTGTTTCAACTATCAACTCACAGCACTCTATTATTATTATTATTATCAACTAGAGTCGTTTGGTTCCTCGTTCTGGATTATTCTGTTCATGTTTCTAAATCATTCCAACACCCTACACACTCTAAATCTACATTTTCCTTCCTTCCTTCCTAAACACATTTTCGATTCTCATTCAAATCCTACAACGCTTCAACCATTCCACATCTCTACAATTCCATCCATCCATCCATCCATCCATCCATCCATCTTCCAAACCAAACACCGCAACCATTTTTCTCTCAGCAACTGCCAAATCGGTCTGGATCGTGGAAACGTGGAAACATCGCGACCCACGGCGCACCAGGCGTGATCGACGAGGTGGGCGCGGATGAGCGCGCCGGTCACGTCGTAGGCGGAGGCGGAGGCGGAGGCGGAGGGGCTGGGTGACGGAGACCACGGTGGCGTTCTGCGCCCAGTTGGACAGGAAGAGATCCAGAGAGCCCGGTCGACTCTGCACACCTTCGTAGGGAGCCACGGACCCCACCCCATCGCCCACCAGATTCCTGCTCACTCACACCCACACCCACACCCACACCCAGAGCGAACCGGTGAGCGAGGAGGTTGGCTCGCCGTCCACCACCAACACCCAACGAATTCCGACGTGGCCATCGTGGACACTCCGAATTGCCTGCCCATCCACTCGGCACTGCCCACTTCGCTCGGGACGCACTCCAGCGTGTAGGAAGTCGCGGGGATCCCACCCTCCAACACGTCCCACACATCGCGTCCCGCGGGGAACCAGACGGTTCGGCGGAAGGCGGAAGGAGGAAGTCGCGGGAGCGCGAAGCTCGCACGTGGCGGTGCAGAGATCATGGAAGGATCCGGTAATCGCCATCGCACAGTCCCACTCAATGCCCTCCGCCTGATTCCACACACACCGCATACAGAACCGCGGGGATCTTCTCTTGGCGGGAGAGATACCCGGTGAACGCGGCCACGCTCAGATAGATGGGCGCGTGCTGCACGCTCTGCACGCTCTGCACGCTCTGCACGCTCTGCACGCTCTGCACGCTCTGCACGCTCTGCACGCTCTGCACGCTCTGCAGGTCCAGGAAGCAGTTCGTGCTGGCGACCTCGCTCTCGCTCTCGCTCTCGCTCTCGCTCTCGCTCTCGCTCTCGCTCTCGCTCTGGATCACGGCCATCGACGCCATCCACGAGCGTCGCACCACGTAGTACCGAATGCTGGCGCCGCCCAGCTCCGCCGGCTCTGCCCACTGCACGCGCAGCGAGGTCGAGGAGAGCGCGGCCACCTCGAGGTTCTGCACCGCGCCGGGCGCGACGACATACGCGGCGAGGGTGATGGGAGAGGAGGCCTCGGAGAGGATGGAGCACGCGGCGGAGCACAGCGCCACGCGCACCCAGTAGGCCACGCACACATCGAGAGAGAGAGAGCTCGGGTTGCTGGACGTCGCCCTCTTGGAGGAGCGCGTCGGCGGCGAAGAGCTGGGAGTGGGAGCCAACCAAGGCCTGCACGAAGAGCTCGCACCACCACCAGACCCAGCGCATCTGCGTGGCTTCGAAGGCGGCAGCAGCACGACGGGCGCGGAGGGAGGCAGGGAGGGAGGCAGCAGCACGACGGGGCGGTAGACGGAGAAGGACGCGAAGGCGGACCAGGAGGCGCCCTTGCGGACACGCCAGCTGATGGCCATCACGCTGTTCACAATGGCGCCCGCCACCAACACGGAGCGCGTCTCGAAGAACTGGCTCTGCACATTGCTGCCCATCAAGGCCATCCATCGGGGCTTCATCGGAGATGCCACTGCTCCAGGGAACCTCCATCTGCACAGACACGCTGCGCTGCGCTGCGCCTACTCCACTTCCCTCATACCAATCGCGCTCTCCACAATGCGAGCAGGCCACAACCGAACGACAACCGAACGCCAACCGAACGCCGGCGCGGGTCGAGAAGGTCGCGATGAGGGTTTCCGCGGGGAAGGGGAGGCCGTTTCGGGACACCAACCTGTTGGCATTGATGTAGAGCGTGCGTGCCTTCGCAGAACCGCGGGAAGGAGCCATCGAAGGCGAAGGCGAAGGCGAAGGCAATGGTGTAGTCGGAGATGGAGATCGCGGTGGTGGGATAGGAGAACGTGGCCTCGGGCAATTCAAACACGATGTGGATGTTCATGGGCTCGAATGGGTCGTTCATCACCTCGCCCACGCCCACATTGCTCGTGCAGTACATCGTGGATTGCTTCCCATCTCCCATCGTCCACAGCGCCACGTCCCTCGCCCCATCGCCCGCCACGCAGCGCAGCATCGGCAGGATGGGCTGACAGGAGCCCGTCCCCTCTCTATCGATCGATCGATTCCCACTGCTGATAGGCGTTGCACCCATCCGTGATCATGCCCCACTAGTCCACATCGCACTTCGTATCCAACACTTGCCCCAAGTGCCCTTCCGGCTACCCCGCCGCTTCGTCCGCGGGGCACACCACCGCCACGCACCTCACCCCTCTTCCATTCCACCACTTCCCACACGCCCGCACCACGCACACCTCCACCTTCCCATGCTCCACAGACCCACAAATGCAGAACTGCACCGTCTTGGAATTCGCCTGCTCCCACTGGCCATTCCAGTTCACTCGGCTCGCATCAATCAGAGGCGAGGACCGTCCCCACAGCAGTTCGCATACTCCGCCTTCTTGTCCCATTCTCCCAAGTTCCACACACGCTCCGCTTCTACAAACCTACAGCTCTTGTTCCCATAGTATGCCCTTTCACTCATCGCAAATCCGTTCTCTCTACCACACTCTACCACCTCACAATATGAAAATGAAAATACGAGAAACAGAACAGATATCCTAGGCAAGAACGTCGTGCCTGTACCAGATACCTCCCACGTTGCAAGTTATCTCCATGTATCCGCGGTCACACATGGCATGAATGGGTTCGCCACGTTGCACAGTTTGAAGCACAGAAATTCCTCACTCGGAACACACTCCACACAGCAAAAATGGAACCAGGGTCCACCGCCATTATGGTATTGAATGCGTTCACGATGCATATCTCACACACACAGTTTAGTCAAAGTAACGATAGCGCACACTACACTAGCTTCTTCAAACACACCAACTTGAGGACAGAACCCATCCCAGCTACAATATTTACACTCCCACAACACAACACACAAAAACACATAGAAGTCCGAAAACAAAACAAAAGACAGGACATACAAGTCCAATTCCAAATTTTGAATACATTCAAACCCAGTAAGACGAATCTAATAGCTTTTATTGTAAAACAAATGATTTCAAAAATACACAGGAATTGTGCAATTGTGAAAATAGTGTTGAAATTGGGTATGAGTGGAAGAATAGATTTCGAATAGGGAGGGAGTTGTTTTTACTGTGAAGTGGAAGGAGATGAGCGGAAATGGGATATTGTGGAATGAATAGATCGAAGAGTGTTGTTTCCAGTGGAAGCGTTTTGTTTTTCGTTCTATTCATTTGGAATTTTATCTAGATGGGATAGAAAGAAACAGGGTATGTAGAAGATGATGATAGGAATGAAAATGGAAAAGCTAACGATAAACAGTTTTTGGGTTATCATTTATATAAATAATATGTGATATGTGTATAGTAGAATCGAATAGTAGAGTTTGTGAGAAAGGTGGGTGTGTCGTTGAAGAACTGAGCAAAATAAGGTAGAATAAATAATATATTTTATACGAACAAATAGAGATATATTCATATTCCACTGTTTCTAGATTTTTCGATAGTTGGTGTCCAGTTTTTGTCGTTTTGATGCACTCTGAACCTATCAGAGATTGTTATATTGCCAGAGAATACTATCCCTTATAGTATCCCCCACCTGCCAAATAATGCAGAATATCTCCTATTTAAAGGAAGGATCGAATTGTACACTTCAATAGGGATACAAAGTGATTCACAATGTTGTTCTATTACGAGCATGAATAACAATAGTATACATAATACTTGCTGTTTGAGTTGGTTGATGAATGTGAAATGCTTTGGTTCCCAACTCATTAGGATGAATAGAATTACTCACTAATAGTGATATCAGTATTGTTGATGATAAAGCTGAAATCCATAAGAATGGACTCTATGGGAATGAGTAGTTGTCCAATATCAAGCTGTGAGACATATCTGGCTGATTTGTTGAAGACAACAATCAAACTATTACTTTTCAGATATATATATATGTATATAGAAGATAGACATTGATATCTATCTATCTATCTTCTTGAATACCTTACTGAAGTTGTGGTTACAAGATATCGTGAATGAGATGTACACATTCGAATTCAAGGAGATCGGACGGTCATTTGCATCTGTCAGTACCCAATCAATGGAATCCAGGTTCGATTGTTCAATCACATCGATCGATAGGTTGTCCCAGGTGATCATGTTGTTCAGTCCCATCGATACATGAATCAGGTTATCGATCAGCGGACTCTTCAGACCGAATGTTTGAGCATTGATACTACTGTACACTCGGATCACACTCATGCCATTCGTGATGTTGTAGGCTCCTCTGGGTATTAACACCTCGTGTGGGGATGTCCCCGCATCGATTAATATCACTTGATCGGTTGGCACGTTGTGCAACACGAAGTCCGTATACAACGACACAGACGAGATGTAGCACTGGTCGAACGACAGAGGATTGTCCAGCTTCACTTCCTTCTTCGTAGTATTACCGAACACTTCAATCATGGAGAATTGATTAGCGGAAGTGACTCTATTTTCAATTTGATCATACACGTCATCAATCGTCAACTGGAGTTCGAATTCGCCGTTCAGTCGCATCATCTTGCCATCCATATCGCGGAACACGAACATCAATTGATCAAACCGAGTGATCATTGGAATGCACACGTCTTCCACAGTTCGCACATAGTTAGCCGTTGGATCGTCAATGATCATCGTGGTGAGCAGGTTGTTGTTCTGGTTGGCAATCTTCAGGTCCGATGATCGCACGATCGTCGAGTAGACCTGAATCACTTGGCGATTTCGCGTGATATCAATCACACTCGATCCACTGAACGAAGCAGGTAGAATGACCGTTCGTCCATCTAAGCCGAGGATTTCACGAATGTCAGGTGCATCTGTGAAATCAATGATGTGTGTGGAGATTGAATCCAGATATAGCCGAACGACGAGGCATTCGTGGATATGGAGAATGTAGTATCGGCCATCGTATTGAGCAAGGCAATGATCTCACTGATCGTGTAATAACCAGCAGGGATCGTTACCTTCTCATTATTCGAATTCGTAACAATGTTCGTTGTGTCAACGTTGTTGAACATGAATTGGTTTGGTCGAAACAGGAGAGTCATGGAAGTGATGTAGGGGTTCCGATACTTGTACGAATTTCACATGAATGTGCCGTTGGTAGGTGAACCTTGAATAAGCATGGAGTAGTGCATGGCCTTTCATTACCTCTACATAAGGATCTACTCATTTTTCTTGGGAGTATGGTCAGCCATGGTCCGTCATAGTGAGTTGTGCTCAAACGTAGCTGACGCAAAAAGCGCGAAATGTTAGCCTTGGTCAAAATCGGTGGAAAAGGGCAGCCAGGCAAAAAATGACAGAAAAATGCGTCGTCGATTTTCGGCTAAGGTTGATTTTGGTGACCTTATTTCTTATGAAAGCCAAAAAAGTCAAGTTGTCAAATTCACCCCTCATACCCCGACTTTAGGGCTTTTTCGTCATGGATTCGAAGTGAAAATGGGCTGTAAAAAGCCGAAAATGGTTTCGCGCGTTTTGCATTATTTTCCTACTACTTTTTCTCTTTCACATGAGTCATAAAACTCTGGTCGTTCAGGAAATACTCTATTTTTATAATTATTAATTCTAATGTACTATTTTGTTAGATGGATTTTCTATTTTGAGTTACAAAGTGTTGTTAAGTTATAACAATATTATCACTAATTCTCATGAAAGAATTTTCACTCATAAGAGTTATATCGTAGAAACAGAAATGCACATCATGATGAATCCACATTTTTCAATATTGCAATGCCATTGTTTACTACCCATCTCCCAAGTGAATGTCTATTAATCTACGAATGTATGCATATTGTCTTATTCTATACTATAGGGATTCAATTATGCAGTTTTCCTTACGTTTATGTAGCAGACAAGACATTTAGAATGATCATACATTATGCACTTTATATACAGAATGAGTTCTTGGTAGCCATACTCTCTAACGGTTTCTCTAGTACATCTATTTCCTTACTTTCCATTCCTTGGTGAACAAAAGCACAGTTTACTCAATGAGCAAAGCAAGAGTGAAAACATATCAAGGGCAACAGTAAATGATATTCTCGATAGTATAGAATGAGTTACAAGGCAGCAAGGTGGTTAGATGATGAATTCTTTCTACCAGCATTATCACAACTTTCAACTATTTGATGTTGTGAAATTAGCTGAAATTGAGATAAATAAAGTGCAGATTGCAGAAAGGAAAATAGAGCTCATAAAGGTGAAAAAAATCACTCTATATAAGAATTTGAGCATAGAGCAAAACACAAATAATGAAAAACTAACAAGAGAAATCGATAATGTGGAGCTTTGGAATTGCTAATGTCTATAGTGCCATATAAGTGATGAAGAGTCAAGAGAAAAGCTTGTCCTCCTTCGTGACGGCTATTCTAGCTGGACAAAGTATGATATTCGGTGTTATATCCGTGCATGCGTGCAGTTTGGACGAACGAATCGTAGTCTGATTGTACGATCTATTTCTATAAGTACTGGGAAGCCTAGGGAGGAAACAGGAGTCAATATTACTTATTTTTGGAAACGGTCTTAATAACGATGGTTTGTGACCTTAGATGCGTCTCCATCCTTCGCTAAGGTCCTATGTGGAAAGGAGAGAAGAAGAAGAAGAAAAGTTAATTCAGACAAAACTCATCGAAGAAGTTTGCATTATTCGAGATGGTATTGTAGATAGTGCCCAAACATTTGCAACTTGAAGGTAAGGCATTAGTGCATTCCGCCTAACCAAAACTCACTTCAAACCCTATCACTTTAGAAATTGACCTGTTTCTTCTTCGCTGTATTAAGTAGGTTTTTTCCTGTTTTGCTTCTCTTTAGTTGGGCTATAAAGAGTATCACTGATACGGAATGAAATTCAGCAATGCCACGAGTTTACTTTTGATTGGTTTTTCTCACTCTTTCTGCTTCGGATATTCAAAAGGGGTATAACTCCCTGATTGATGCAATTCGAAACAAAGAGAGTAAGTTGGAATAAGCAAGAGCAAACAAGGTGTAAAGTCTTCATCTGTCTTATAGTTGTTTTCATTTATTTTTCTATGAATTTGATTGTTTTTAAAACATGTTGCAGACGAGTGATGGTTCCAACCTCTTGGGATCAATATCATTCTTGTTTGTGTTTTTAGTTAGTGCATCCAATGAAATACGCCAGATGACTTCATTTGGGAGAAGGTTTAGGCGTTCCAAAATATAACTTTCTGTATGGAAAAGGATAGTAAGAAGCCTGTGATATTCACTGTTATTGGAATATTCGTAGTTTCTGGAATTCTATTGTTAGGTATGAGTTTTCTGTATTATTGAGACTAGTTACTGGTCCAAATGCAGTTTTGCCATCTCCATGGAACTATATTTCGCAATATGTTGGCTGGCTCTATTTTTGTGCCTGGAGTATTTCGTTTTACCCGCAGGTAAGCATTACATATGTTCTAAAACTGAGATCTTCCTCAACTATACTAGGAAATCAGTGGTTGGCTTATCATTCGATTTTTTGGCATATAACCTGGTTGCTTTTTCTTGCTACACTGTGTACAACTTCTCTCTGCTCTATGTTCCGGAGATCCGACAAGAGTACCAGGAGATGTACCATCAGCATGTTCCTGTATTCTTCATTCATTTGTTTAATGTCAGGTGGTTGTAAACGACTTATTCTTCTCTGCTCATGCCATGCTCGTTACGTCCTTTACGATTTTCCAGTGTTTTATTTACGAGCGGAAAGAGCAGCGAGTGAGCAAAGTGGCCATTTCTATTCTTTGTTCCATTTTCCTTCTTATTCTGCTCTGTATCCTTGGGACAGCCTTCCACGTGGTTTCTTGGCTGACTCCGCTGATCATTCTGATCGTTTTTTCCAACATTAAGCTGGTCATCAGCTTCATCAAGTACATTCCTCAGTTGATGCTGAACTGCCGGCGGAAATCGACATATCCTTTCTATGTGCGCGCTGAGGTCGCTTAACTACGACTGTGGGATGGACCATCTACAATGTGCTCCTCGATTTTTCCGGTGGCTTGCTTTCAATCATCCAGTTCTTTATGAATTGCATCGTTCTGAGTAACCGCGAAGTGAATTCTGTAATGTGCAGACGAGTGGTCCGGATTAACGAGTAATCTTGTGAAGCTGGGGTTAGGTTCCGTCAGCATGTTCTTCGACATTCTGTTCATGATCCAGCACTTTATCCTGTACCCTAGCCATGAGGAGCCAGCGGAAGAAAAGCTCATCACCGATGAAGTGGAAGCTCTCGTTTTGGAGAAGCGTGATTTTGTTCGTTCGGGCAGCAACCGAATCATTGATATTAGTGTTATTAAGACCCCGTAAACATAGTTGGATTGGATTGGATTGGATTCGTTTGTTGAGAAAACAAGCAAAAATAAGTTTCGTTAATGTTGCATTTCTTCACGGGGGACGGGATCCGGGAGTACCTTGCTCTTCTTTTCGATACGAGCATTCAGCGTAGGACCCACACCGTGGTGAGCACGACTAACAGATTACCACCTCTAGCGAACAAAAATACCAGGACTCGAGAACGGAGGCCAGAGCGCCCACGAAGAAAGTCATCTTCAGCAAGTCTGGGACGTTACCACGCTAAGCATAAATGAAGTGAAGCAAACTCACCGAGAGGCCTACGACAGCACCAGCCGCAGAGCCTGACACAAAATAGGTCCACCAGTCATTCTTCTCACGAATTGTGTACTACACTTGATGAGTCGAATGGAACGCTACCATCCAAGATCCGAATCCTTCATAAGCCGAACCCGCAAGAGCCAGAATGATCTAGGGTCTTATCAGGAAAACAGCACTCTCTACTGCAGGACGGATAATCATCTTGGCAGATTGGGTCAACGTCGTGGGATTTACTGAAAATAACAAATAGCTAAGAAAACAAACCAGGAGTACGATATGGAGGTCGTACCCACACGGTACTCACACCTCCGAAAAAGGAGCCGACACAGAGTCCAGACCACTACGAAATTATGAGAACTATGGGGTTTCTACAAAACCACGCGTAATTCTTCGCTTATAGTCTTTTTCGTCAGTGGGCTTCATACTAGCCTTCAGCTTTTCCCAGCAGCGCATTTTCCTCGATAGAACCGATATAATAAGCGTTTTCCATTCTGATCCGTTCAGTGGTTCTTCTTAATCAACGATCCTGATTCCCAACAAACAACCCACAACACACACTCTCCCTTCTTATTCCTTCTTACTCCTTCTTAATCCTTATTCTTCCTTCGGCAACGTCAGATCCAGCTCATGTCCCGTAATTCTCTTATAGATATCCAGCACATCATCAGCGACCGTTTCGAAGTGACTACCTCACACATCCGCCTCATTTCTACCTCGTCGCATCATACGACGTGGAGATAAAGCACCGATCCTCGGTTCCGTCGTTCACCGGCTCGAAGGTATCCGACACGTCATCGAATCGTTCCAGCACGTCGCCCAGCAGGTCGATCGCGGGCGCCAGCTCTCTCTGCGGGTCCTCCGTCTCCACCGTCGTCGACGCGATCGCGATGTAGATTCCCTTCGCGCACACCGCGTGGTCGAACGACACGCACGACACATAGATGTCTACAATCGCGACGATTCCCGCAAAACCCACCGGAGTTTCGCTTGGGGTAGCCGGCTCGCACCACCTGCTTCGCGGGGATGATCACCTGGGCGGACTTGGAGTCGCCGGTGCCCTGGATGGGGTGGTTCAGCAGGCAGATCGACCGCACGACCTTGCCGGTCTCGCGGAGCATATCGTCGGGGAAGTAGGACGGATCGCCCACGACGAACTCGCAGGACGCGGCCTCGCCGTCGGACACCACACCCTTGATGCGGCCGTCGTCGTCGAAGAGCAGCTCGTCGGGGTTGCGGTTCAGCATGAACACGCCGCCCTTGATGGCGCAGAGGCGCGAGAAGCCCTCGGGCAGCCCGCCCAGGCCGTACATGGGGTAGAGGAAGGGCGAGGAGCCGTATTGGTTCAGCGAGTAGCCGTAGAGCTTCATCGCCTTCACCGTCTCCACGGCCGGCTCGTCGAGATAGTCGTCGTTCAGACGCAGCGCCATCGCGTGGCCCGTGAAGTCCATGCAGTTCTCGTCCAGGCCGTATTTCTTGTACAGCTCGCGCATCGTCATGTGCAGCAGCGGAACGTCCTTGTCCGCGGGCACGCCGTCCTCGCCGGGGATCTCCATGGGCAGCACGTTCGACAGGAAGCTGCGGTACTTCATCTTCTGCATCAGGGAGAGCAGAGGAGTGCTCAGCGCCTCCTGCGTTGTGGCGGGCATCTGGGAGTGAGAAAAACAAAAGGGGGGGATGGCAAAGAGGTACCTTGCTAACGGTCTTGTTCTTGCCGTTGTACACGTAGCTGCCCTCGATCTGCTTGAAGTCCAGATAGTTCGTCACTTTGGTCAGCAAAAGCATGTTCACAAGGTTGCCGCATGCCATGAGGAATTTGGGGATCAGATCCACGTTGTAGTCGCGGTTCTGGCCAAGACGGTCAAATTCCTCCTTGGTAGGCTCGCGATCACGGAATTTCTTGAACAAGTTCTAAAACTCAGGCAACCTGCACAAAAATCACAGTCAGGTTCAGAGATGCGCAATCGCCTCCATAGTAGTCATTGCGATCCAAAACCAAAACCTATTTCTCAAAAAGACTCGGAACCCTCCCACCTTCTTTCCCTCGGTGGCAAGAAGTCCGGCCACAATGCATTCCTTCAATCCAGTTCCAAGAATGACAGCGTCATACTTTCCATCGGCAAGGGCAGGATACTCCACGCCCAGAACATTCACGGGTGGTACAGGTTGCATGATTCCAATTTTTCTTTCAAATCCAATCCAGTAATGCAATAATAGTACATCAAGACGAAACCAATTTGCATGTGCAGTGGTGCGTCCGTCCTTGATAAGCAAGGAAACAGAAACTTCGGTAGATCATATAAATTCCCGCGTTTTCCGTTTCTGAGAAGCACATAAAGTTGCTAATTCTTGTTCTAAATTTAGTATAATTCCTTCTGCCACTCTAATGGAGTAAATTGATTTTGATAGGAGAGTCATTGTGCAGAAAATCAGATAGTTTTGAATGGCCTGCTGATGCAAAACGCTACGAGTTTTTGGGTGTGATTGGTAAGGTAGCGATCACTTTCGGTGCAGTAAAGTTCAGGGAGCTTTTGCAAAAGTATATAAAGCGCGTTGTTTAGATAACAACGCCATTGTATCCATTAAGATATTAAAGCTCGAAGACCCTTCTATCAATCTGGAGGATACTCGGAAGGAGGTCCTAACAATGAAACTATGTGACCACGAAAACGTTCTGACGTGTTACTGCTGCTTCAATGTGGGATGCTCGCTGTGGATCGTCACGCCCCTCATGATCAAGGGCTCGTTCCTGCGCATCCTCCAGTACCTCTCCAGCCAAAAGCGCATTCAAGACGGTCAGGGCTTCGAGGAGTGCATCGTTGCATACATCATCCGCGAGACGGCCAAGGCTCTCAAATACCTGCACGATTCCAACCTCCTGCACCGGTACTTCTTCCTCCTCCTCTCTCACCGCAGAGACGTCAAGGCGGGCAATATCCTCGTCGACGCGGACGCGAACATCCGTCTTGCCGATCTGGGCGTGGCGCGCGTGCTCGAAGGGACCGTGAAGAAGCAGGAGGCGCGGACCTTCGTGGGCACGCCCTGCTGGATGGCGCCCGAAGTCATGAACCGCGAGCGGTACAACTCCCGCGTAGCCTGTTCCTCTCCCTGCTCATTTCCAGGCCGACATCTGGTCGCTAGGCATCACGGCGCTGGAGCTTTTCAAGGGCTACCCGCCCCTGGCGAAGTTCGAGCCGATGGAGATCCTGATCCGCACGGTGCAGGGCGAGTCGCCCTCCTTCGCCTCGTACAACGATTCCTGCCCGATCAAGCCGTCCAGCGCGTTCGTGGGGTTCATCAGCTCGGTGCTGAAGAAGGACCCTGCGCAGCGCTACAGCGCCGATAAAGTGCTGAGCCACCGCTGGCTGGCCATCGCCGACCAGGGCCGCGAGGCGCTGAAGAAGCTGCTGGAGACCATCCCTGACTTAGAGGGGCTGCCGGACGTGCCGGTGGAGCTGCCCGGGCTGGAGGTGCACTACGTGAAGAATACGACGTGGGACTTCAGCGGCGTGTAGGCGAGCGGCGGAGCGGTGAGGCGTAGGCAGGGACTGAAGGACAGCGAGAAGGACAAGTGGCTGGGAGAGTTCACCAAGGTAGGGCAGAGGAGAGAGGGTCAGACGTAGGCGTCGGTGAAAGAGACGGAGGCTCCGTAGTTGATTGTATATTATACTACTAGCATGTGCGCGCATGTTTGTTACAAACACCGATAAGCTACATAAAGGACTGGTACTGGGAGCGGAACGAGCGCTGCAGTGCGGTGCAGCCCTTCTGCTCCAGGATCGTGGAGATGGAGCGACAAATGATAGGCGACGGAGCGATCTGCGAATCAAACAGGCAATCAATAGACAGCTGTACCTTGCCCTCTTTCACCATGTCGTCGAACAGCTTCAAGCCACTCTCCGGATTCGACGAAATCAAGCCACAAGCCACATACAAAAATAGGTCCGATTTCAGGCATTGCTCCATAAAGGACAAGGTCTCGTAGATGTGTCGATACGAGTCCTTTAGATCGTATGCTTTCTTCAACTACGATGCATTGCCACGACTTTCCATACCTCCTGGACTTTTGAGGCTACGGCGCTCTCTTGAGAGGAACTTCTGTGACGAATCGGATGCTTGCTCTTCATGAACACTTCTTCTGTATACAGAACGATTCCCTGAATGCTCTCCACAGAACGGGAAACTTCGGCCCATTTCAGTAATTCCTGTGTGTCAATCAATCGGTTGTTGGACCTACAAGCATCTGCGAAGAGGAGAGACGAATATGCAAATCGATCACCTTCTTCCAGGTAGACAACGAAATCTGCATTTTCGACTTTTCAGACATCTGTACCTCACCCATTCCAATCCATTGATACGATTTTCAAAAGCTCAAACAGCTCCACTCCTTGACTTTTCGTAGAGTGCTTAATTAACTCCACAAAAGAGCCAATATCATCCTCTGACTTTATATTCTGCTCCAACCAACACCGACTCCAAATATGCGTGAAAGTGTCATCATCATCCGCTATATCAAAATGATAATTCGAATTCATCAGTTCACCGACCACTCGCTTCAACCGGGACAATTCCGAACTCGTCACCGGTAGTTTTCGTTTTGACATCTCCTTATACACCTGAATCATTCCATCGTACGATTTCCCTTCGGAAAATTTCGTCATCTCTCTCGACAGAATGATATTTAGCAACGGAGGATTCGAATTCAAGAAGTGGGTTTGCTCAATGAACAAGATCGTCAAGCGAGGCGATCGAACATCCAACATATTCAGCAAAATGTTTAATACAGGCAAAGAAAGCATCTTGGATTCTTCCTTCATCTTCTGAATGATGTGTTCGCATAAGGAATCGTATTCTTGGTGCTTCACGAGGGTTCGCAGAATATCCTCGTACTGGGAAGACGAAATGTTCACATGATCAGTGAAGAGCTGATACGTCATGCTTATTAGCCGTTGGTGGGCATCGCAAACTCGGTAGGCATGCAGTAACGCGTCTCGCAGTAAGCAAGTTCGTCCATACTTTTTTGCAGCTTTTGAATAGAGCAGTGAAATCGACTTAATATCTCCTATTCTTCCTGCTGTCACAATCGCACATTCGTAAGTGTAACTTGAGAGATAGAATTTGGACTGCTCTAAATACTCGAGAAGAGTTAGCAAATCCGAAGATTGATAGCAGCAGTTCAGAATGCTCATTATGTTATTGTCGATCAAGTTTCCAGGAATATGGGGCAATAGAGCATACACTTCTTGGAATGACCCAGTACGGATAGCTGCGGATAGTTTAAGAGAGGAAGATTCCACATCGTTGTTTGGAGAGCTTGTTCCAATGGTTCGAGCACATATGGAACTAGTACCCAGTCGTGACAATGCAGGAGCAATCTAAAACTCAAGTTCAGTCGAAGTCCTTCACTCTTCTTCCTGTGTACCCCGCTATTCCATAGAATGCTCTACGGCACACACTACTAGTCAGAGAGCATAGTAACTCCATACTGTTGAAACATTTTAATCCATCAAACAGAAAGTAGCACTCTTTTTCTACATTCCTTCGTCCTTATCTTCTTCTTCTCGAATGATCGCGATGATGACGATGATGGCGATGTGTCCGACTTCGAGATCGGCTTCTGCTTCTGCTTCTGCTTCTGCCTCGGCTTCCACTTCCACTTTCGCTTCGACTCCTCGATCGCGACCTTGAATTCGCTCGGTTCTCCCTCCTCGATCGCTGCCTGTCCTCTGTGGATCACATTGCGCATGCATCTCTACGACTCCTCTCCTCTCGATACTGCGTCATGCGTTCTCCTCTTCTGCGTCGATTCCACAGCTTCGCGACGGACTGGCTGAAGTCCACCTTGATCCTGCGATCATCGATCAGCACGTTGTTCATTTTCACGTAAGCGTCCTCCGCAGCCTCGTTCGATTCGAATTCGATGAACGCGTACCCCAGACTATTCCCTGTTTCGTGGTCGCGAATAATCTTCAGCTCACGGCCTGTCTACTCCACTACCTCGCAGCTTTTCACGCCAAAGCGATAGAAAATCGTCTTCAGGTCTTCGTCTTCGGTGATCGGATTGAGCTGGCAAACGAACAGTACGTTCTCCGGAGGCTTCACATCCGCGTCGGGAAGGTCGCCAAGCATTTCCAGGATCTGCGCGTTCGTCTGCGCTTCGCGGCGCTTTTGCTCCGCCTCCATCTGTTCCGCGGTCTTTCCGTGCGAATATTCCTCCACCTCGCTCTTTGTCAGACCGCGGGGAACCACCTCTTCCTCTGGAACCGCGCGTTGCGGAGATGCGTCCGGAATTTGGAGTCCCGCCGGATCGTCGAACGGATCATAGAGAATGTGTGTGTGGAGAATGCGGATGTCGACGTAGGGTCGGAACTTTTCATTGCAGAACGCCTGGGAAGGAGGGAAAAGTGCGACCTACCTCATTGATTTTTTCGAGGACCTCAAGGCCTTCGGTCACTTGGCCAAAAATGGTGTGTTTTTTGTCGAGATAATTGATATTGTCACGAAGGGTGATGTAGAATTGCGACCCGTTCAGGTTTTCTCGCTTGTTTGCCATTGCAACGGTTCCTATCTGGAGCGTCAATAGGAATAGACAGCAATACTTTCGTGTGCTTGAGCGTTCGGTTGATTTCGTCCGCAAAGAAGCGCTTCTCGCTTCCTTCACTAGAAATAATTGAGTCGATATTCACGCATACAGAATTCCATAGATTGAAGTTCCTCCCTTCCCTGTACCTACAAATCAGCTAGAAGTGGTTTGTTTACCCGTCGGATCACCGGTTTGAGCAATGAAATTCTGTTGAACATTAAAGAAGAGGCAGTTGTTGTAGTACTTCACTTTGCACAATTTCAAAAAGTTGAAGCAAGTGTTGTGGCACTCCTCTGTGTACAGATCGATGGTGATGTTGCCCTCGGTCGTTTCCAGAATCACGCTCATCGTAAAACAAAGAGTATCCAACAAACAGTCGATACAAATTACGAAAACGGCTTAATCACTGGAGCTGCTGCTGGAGCTGCTGGAAGAGGAAACGTGCTTCTTGGGCGACTTCTTGGGCGATTTCTTCGCGGGCTTCTCGTCCTCCGACTCCGAGGAAGAGGAGGAAGAAGAGGAGGAAGAGGAAGTGGAGCTCACGGTCTTCTTAGGCGATTTCTTGGCGGGTTTTTCATCCTCCGATTCAGAAGAGGAAGAGGAGGAAGAGGAAGTGGAGCTCACTTCCTTCTTGGGCGATTTCTTAGCAGGCTTCTCGTCCTCCGATTCAGAAGAGGAAGAGGAGGAGGAGGAAGTAGAGCTCACGGTCTTCTTCGGAGACTTCTTGGCGGGCTTTTCGTCCTCCGACTCAGAAGAAGAAGAGCTCGAAGTGGAGCTCACTTCCTTCTTAGGCGACTTCTTCGCAGGCTTCTCATCCTCCGAAGACGATTCCGATTCCGATTCAGAAGAAGAAGAAGAAGAACTCGAAGTGGAGCTCACTTCCTTCTTAGGCGACTTCTTCGCAGGCTTCTCGTCCTCCGAAGACGATTCCGATTCCGATTCCGATTCAGAAGAAGAACTCGAAGTGGAGCTCACTTCCTTCTTCGCAGCCTTCTTCTTGGGCTTCTCTTCCTCGGAAGACGACTCCGATTCCGAGCTGGACTCGCTCTCGCTCGACGAGCTTTCCTTCTTCGCAGCCTTCTTGCTCTTCTTCTTGGGCTTCTCCTCCGACTCCGAGCTGGACTCGCTCTCGCTCGACGAGCTGCTCGACGCCTTCTTGCTCTTCTTGCTCTTCTTCTTGGGCTTCTCGCTGTCCGAAGACGATTCCAACTCCGACTCCGAGGAAGAAGAAGAAGAGGAAGAAGACCCGCTGGACTTCTTCTCCGCATCGCTCATGATTTCGCGTCCGAAGATCACATCGAAGGGTCGCACGACGCTGCCCAGCATCTCGATGACCGCGTCGTACTCCATCGTGGTCACATCCACGCCGTTGATCGCAATGATGTAGTCGTGCGGCTTGATCAGTCCGCTCTTCTCGGCCTGCAGGCGGCTGTTGCGCGGTCCGTGGTTGAACCGCTTCACCTTGCACACGGCGGGCTCCGTCGGGTAGGACTGGTAGAGATCCAGACCGATCGGTCCGTCCATGAACTCCACCTCGATCTCCGTGAGCTCCTTGCTCAGATCGCGATTCACCACGTGGCCATCCTTGTCCACGCGCTCCTTCGCCTTCGTGATCGCCGACGTGTCCACCATCTGCGTCAGCGTCGGCCAGTACTGCACCGCCAGGTTGTTCACCGGCTCCAGCAGCTGGTTGCTCTTCTCCTACCCGTCACTTCCCTTCCTCACCGCGTACGATAATCATCTTGGACACCTGGGACTCGATGCGGCTGCAGATCATGCCGTTGAACATCTTCAGCACCGTGTTCACCACGCCCGCCATGCTGTTGTGCTTCACCACCAGCTCCAGATCGGGCAGCTTCAGATACGGGTGCTGGATCTCCAGCTGCGGCTTGTCGTCCACCACGCGGAGCTTGAACGCCACGCCGAACATGGCCTAACCATCGTGAGCGCGGGAGCCGAGCCTACCTCGCGCGTGCTGCAGTCCAGCGTGAAGTCGCCCTTGTACTTGGGGAAGTTCCGCTTGTCGATCTTGCACTTGATCTTCTTGATCTTCAGCTTGAGGTTGCGCACGCCCACGCGCAGCTTGGCGCCGTCGAGCTTGCCGCGGTTCAGGATGAATCGCACCATCACTACGCGTGAAGCACTCGGTCAACGCCCACCGTCCGAAGACTTCAGCTTGAATCCCGAGAGATCGATGTTGCTGATCTTGTACTTGGTCTCGCCGTACTTGCCCTTCAGCACGGGCACTTCGATCGAGGGAATGTACTGCACGTCACCGCTGCGCTCCGCCGCCGCCTACCTTCAGCAGGAAGTCCAGCACCGCGGTCTTCACCTTCTCGATCATCTCATCGCGCTGCTTGTCGTCCGCCATGATCGCCTGGCCCTTCTTCAGCGCGCCCTCGATGCCTCCCTCCTCCTTGATCTTCTTCATGTACTCCAGACCCTTGCCCAGCATCTTCTTGCCCGTGTCGTCCTCCTGCACCTTCTCCAGCACCTTCATGCCCATCTCCGCGATCTTCGCGCGGTTCTCCACCACCGTGTCGATCAGAGCCGACGATCGCTCCACCATGGCGTTCTACGCATCACCACTCCACGCCCACTCCTCTACCTCTTCGTGCTTGTGGTGATGATGCTTGCCCTTCTTGCCCTTCTTCTCCTTCTCCTTCTTCTCCTTCGACGCCTTCTGCGCCTGCTCGATTCCCTTCTCCACGAACTCCTTGCCCTTCTCCGTCAGCTCCTCGCCCTTCTCGTTCCACGTCGATTTCATCTTCGACACGGCGCTGCTCACCATCTCCGAGGACGTGAACTCCGAAAGCAGGCTCTTCGAGATGTCCAGCATTTCCTTCGCCTCCTCGCTCTTCATCAGATCACCCATCACCTTCTTTCCCTCTTCCATAAGCTACGAATCACAGACAAATCCTGCATTGCACACCTTTTGGGTCTGCTTGTCGTTCTTGACAGTCTCGAACGCATCCTTGCCCTTCTTCGACAGCTCGCTCTCCTTCAACTCCTCCAAACGAGCCTTCATCTGCTCTTGCATCTCAGGATTATCCGTAATCTGCTTCACCGTTTTGCCTAGACGTAATCCTGAACATCTCTACAGCGTACGCAGCTCGGCGTTCTCTTTCAGAAGCTCAGCTCCCTTCTGGAGGAGAGTATTTGCAAACTCCTTGCTTTCTTCAACCAAACCATATTTCTCAAGAACTCCAGCTCCCTGGGCGATCCACGCCTCTCTTTTGTCTTCAGGAAGTTTACTAAGGATTTGTGCGCGAAGATCCTCCGTTTTCTTCTTAAGCCACTCAGTCGTGTGCTCTCCATCAGAGCTAGTCGTATCTAAAAAAGATTACCCAAATCAAACAACAATCTACCACTTCCAGTAGCATCGCGATCTTTAGCTTCTTTCAGCTCGGCAGCCGCATTCTCAAACTCTCTCTTTAAGCTTTCGATTTCCGTATTTTCAGCCATTATAGATAACCCAGCAAAACGGGAGAAATGTAATGATTATCGAAAAACACTGGAACATAATCCTAATTATGGTCCCTATTTGACACAAATATGGGCCCACAGACAAATGAGGGACTCCGCAGATTTACAGATACCAGATGAATGGAATGACACACTCGGTGGAAGGAACACAACTAACTATTTTTTGATCTGTTCATGCTCTCGCTCTGTGCTAGATCTACACATAGAGGCCTGCTCCGCGGACTCCTTGTAGCTCGGTCGGCGTCAACTGCTGCCAATTTCGATGTTCTCTCGGATTGTCAAATTCTAGACAAAATATCAAAGAAGGAGATATCGGTGCACAAATTAGAAAGTGTTTTATCCGATCCTGTGAGAGCTCTCCAAATTCGGAGGCAGTTTTTGTTTAAAGATGCTGCAAAAGAGAAGTTTCATGATCTTCCGTCGAATAACTGGGATTCTACCAGCTTTTTCTCGCGCGTCACTGTATGTGTCTCTATTCTCTATGATCGAATAGGGACACAACTGCGAATCGGTCGTGGGATTCGTTCCGGTTCCAGTTGGAATGGTAGGACCCATCCTAGTCAATGGAGAACGTCACTACATTCCGATGGCTACAACCGAAGGAGCTCTCATTGCTAGTACAAACCGTGGAGCGAGAGCGATCACGGAGAGTGGTGGAGTGACGAGTGTGGTTGTGGACGATGGAATGACGCGTGCTCCCGTGTTTAAGTGCGAATCGGTCCTGCAAGCAGCCAAGGTCAAGCAATTCGTAGAGTCTCCGGAAGGCTTCTCTTTGGTTTTCAACGCCTTCAGCCAGACCACAAAACACGGGAAACTGGAAGTTTTTCTTCTTCTATGATTCTCTAAGATTCTAGTCCATCAAGTGCTTTGTGAGCGGAAACAGGCTGCACATGCGTCTGAAAGCCAACGCGGGCGACGCAATGGGCATGAACATGCTCACGAAAGGCTCCAACAAGGTCGCCGATGCGCTGATCAGCCAATTCCCCACGCTCAAACTGGAATCGCTCTCCGGAAATCTCTGCACGGACAAGAAGCCCTCCGCGATCAACTGGCTTTTAGGTCGTGGCAAGTCGGTGACTTGCGAGGTTCGGATCCCAGAGCGAATCATGCGCAGCGTGCTGAAATGCCGCGTTCACGATATCGTGCAGCTCAATACCGCTAAAAACCTCGTGGGATCGAGTTTGGCAGGGACTCTGGGAGGAAACAACGCTCACGCAGCGAACATCGTCGCTGGCATCTTTTTGGCGACGGGCCAAGACATGGCGCAGGTCGTGGAGTCGTCGCACTGCTTGGACTACATGGAAGAAGAAGAAGAAGAAGGCGAAGAAGGACAGGAGAAAACGCTTTACATGTCAGTGACGATGCCTTCGATTGAGGTGGGAACGATCGGAGGTGGAACGGGACTCGCTCCGCAGCACGCCTGCATCGAGCTGATGAAAGAATGAATGGGCGGAGATGGTGAGGTGTAGGATAAAACCCCGGTCAATTCGGTGATGTTGTCGCAATTGGTGGCGTCGACGGTGATGGCAGGCGAATTGTCGTTGATGGCTGCGCAAGTGTCGGGAGATTTGGTGTCTGCGCACGAGAAACTGGGGCATATCCTATCGAAAGAGAGAGAAGGTGACTTAATGGCAGGAAAGGCGAAGTGAGATTGAAGGGTTATCAGTATGGGTCGATGAGCCTTGTTTGTTGAATGAAAACGTTGGATGAGTGATGAATGCAGGTGGAAGATGGAAGAGTTTGGAGTGTAGATGGAGTAAAGATGATAATAGATTGCAGATTGGAGATGGGTGAAAGAGGATAACTCTTGGTAGAAAAAGGGATCGAGAAAAGAACGAAGATAAAAAGTCATTCAGGGATATATGAATTGGAAACCATTCTTTTCTAGAATGGAACACTCTTTTGACTATACCATCGACGCGAAGCAAATCAAAATCAAACAAAACCCGAAGAGTATCGAGGTCCAGATAACATGCGGAGAGGTGAAGTGCCTGACAACCGTCCACCAAATGCAAAAATACAGTAGGACTTGAATTCTAGCTCAATCGAAGAATTCGCCTCTCACTTGCACTGCAGAGGGTGCCAATACGACAACGACATTGTGATGAAATTCAAATACGATGTGGAAGAAACACATCAACAAGAAACACTTTGCGCAATCATTCCTTTTGACAAAATTCGAAAACACCACACTCTTTTTGGTTCGTTTCATACTAATACATAACGAGCAGATACATGGATTACTCTATTCTATGAAAATTCTGAACGCATCGCGGGTGCAATTCTACTGTGTGTTTGGTGCTCCAATTCCGATGGTTTGCAAATCCCCTACTGAGTAATATTAAGCTTCCGCAATAAAGGAATCTGCTAGGAAAACGGGAACAAAGGACTACTTCCCCACCTACCACGCAACGCGTGCTCTATCCAGTGAGGTATGCCCGTTCCAAACAACGCTCGGCCATATGAGCTCTAGTTGCATGTGATTCTGTTTTCTCTGAACAAACAAGGCAATGAATATAGTCAACACCCTCCGCTGATTTGTACTCTTCGATTGTGCCCATCATCACATTTCGGCTTTCCTCAAATTCCGATAGGTCTTTAAACACTTCCAGTTCCGTGTAATTATGCAAGTACGCTCTTCGCTTGTACGATCGATCGAACTGCCGAATCAATTTCGTGAACAGCTACCATCGACCTTTCATCTCGCTCCTACCGTCCCCATACTCGTGTGATTCGCCATCATCAGTCCCGTTACGCGATGTGTCGTCGATAAGAACGAACTCGACCGAGCCAGCGCCACCTGGATCGATGCTGGTCCCCATGCCACGAAATTCTGCATATTTTGCTCCCGAATTCGCTGCAAGCTTTTATGTACCTCCATCGGATCCACCGATCCCTGAATAATATCCAGCACGGAGATGTAGCGTCCCGATCGCGTGTTGACGCTCACCATCAAGTTTTTGTTCTGCAGAAGCCTTCGCATCACGTCGTTCACGCTGGTTTTCCGCACGGTTTGCGCAGAGGCGTCCAGAGAGAACGGCGTGTAGGACGTGAGGAGGAAATGCAGGCGAGGCTGCGGAATCAGCGTCGCGAGCAATCCTGTCATATCGTTATGCATGTACCTGCACGAAACAAAGAGAAAAAAACAAAAAACCCCGGATAGCGAACCGTCGCGGTCGATGCCGCCATGACCGTCGACACGATCGAGTTGACTTGGGAAATGCTGGGGTTGGAGAGATGGAGTCGATCGGTGGCGAGACTATTCAGCGAAGCGTTGTCCAGCACGACCACCGCGTCTGCGTGTTGGATCAGGCGGCGCGCTGTTGGGATCGAGTTGTACGCCTGCACCACGACGTCGGAGCCGCTGTCCTGCGAGAGAAGAAGGAGAAGAAAAAAGGGGTACGAGGTTGGGGAACACGGAATAGGTTTGGATGATCTTTTTCGGAAATGCATCGTTGAGGTTCTCGAGGAGGAAGGAACCCATGCCGGAACCTGTTCCGCCGGCAATGCTGTGCATTAGCATGAAACCCTGGAGAGAAAGGATCCGAAATGCCCGACTTCAAGACTGTCGCTATTTTCAGCTTCGCGCGTTAAAATATCCATCGTTTCCTCTCTGAAGGCTCGGCCCTGCTCGTAGCCCACGCCCCAGTTGTTTCCTGCACCATTTCCATTGGAGCCGATGTATCTTTAAATTAGAAAGGTGCAACACGAATATACATGTTTTCGGGATTATAGAAATCGCTGTATTCGGACTCTTTAATAGTTTCGATGACGCGAGGCTCTAAATCAAACAGAACAGCGCGTGGAACGAAATGACTGTTATCCGCCTATTGTTTAGCAGTGCCATTAGGTGTACGCGATAGAAAAAAACGTCTTTCCGATCTAGGCCTTCTTCTGCGCAATCGAGCAACACTCCGTCACTTCCAATCCCGTGCTCAGCACATAGCTTCTTCCAAAACTCAAAGCCAACTATCCTGTCAAAACCACATCAAACAATTCAAACTCTGGTTCCCACATTGCCCAACTTGGACCGTGATAATTTCACGAGGCATCGAGGAGAAATGAAAGATTAGATGCCAACAAACAAGCAGCAAACTATAAGGGAGGATTGACAGGCATAATATCTTGCCCGATATCTAACAAAAAAGTTTCTGTAGACGAAGGTTCTTCATCATTCACATTCAGCACCTTCCTAAAGCAAATCAAGTAGTAGCTACTGAATGTGATGGTGACTACAACTACGATAATGTTTAATGACAGGATTAAAATCTCCCAATCCAAGCTGTTAATGATAGGGTGGAATGAAGGGATCCAAACATGCAAACAACAACAATAACAACAATAACAATTAACAATTAACAATAGAATGGTTGGATATACTCAGTATCATAGAGCAGCTCTGGGCAGAAGGCGCAAGCATCTCCTGCCCAGTCTGTATTGTTCCCAAAATAGTCATCGACCTGGACGAGACCGCAGCACGTAGCGTAATCCTGCAAATGAGCGGATGCACGGTCGACTACACAGAGAGAAAGCCAGTCTTGTAAATAGAGATCACTACGGAGAGAGGATTCCAAGCGGAACAGATCAGACTCCTCTATTGGGCTCCCATTATTCTATAATCGTTGGCAACAATCACGATTACATAGATCAAATAGAGATGGGCTATCACATTGCTTATGGAGAAGGTATGGAAAAATAAAACACCACAGATTAACACTAAAGAGACCGCATACTATGTATAGTCGCTGAACAAAAAGGTCGTACAGTCGTGACGATAAAAGTCCCATTCATTGCGCGAAATGAAACATAATACATGCAGATGAGAGAAATCACGATGACAAGCAAAAATGGTCTTTTGCTTAAAGCAAGGAAAAAAACGTACAAACGAAACCATAGCAATCGAGTCGCAAATAGTCGTTCAAAGTATTGCTACCAAATTATCCCAAGGAAATAGGAATCACGTAGTCTGGCGTAAGAAAGACAACGAAAAAACCGCACCCCGAAAGAAGCAGAGTAATGGCATTTAACCATCGCAGGATCTTGAGGTTTCGGTTCACTAGATGGTGAGAGAAACAACTGCTGTACAGTTTGTGCGTTTATGAAATAGTATTGTCATAAAACCAAAACTTGTTGTAGATATGTTGGGTGTTTTATTCACCAGAACTCTATTTCAGGCGGATATCATTCTCGCCATTAATCACTCTCATAAATGAATCTGCAAAAACAATTGGTTTGTTCCTGCCAAACACAAAGAGAAAAGGGTGTATAGAACATAGAACTGTCACTTCCTATTATTTCTCTTGTTTCTGTGCTTCATATTGTTCCGGAGTCATACACTTGAATGTGATTCCGTGAAGGATAGATAACTCGTCCGACAAAATCTATAATAAATCGCTAGTTTTCTCTCTCTACTACCTTGTTCATGAGTCGGTGCTGCTGAATCAATTTCATTCCACGGAATTTGGGAGAAACCACTAACATCTCTAAACTACATATGGACACGATTTAGTGAAGCGTACAGAAAACCTGCATCATACGAAATATCTTTAATATCAACTATGGTGGCTTCCGCTTGCTTTTTCACTTTATCGATCATCATTTCTTGCATCTTCATACGGTTCTATTCGTTACACATGAGATGAAGCCCAACTCGCTGCTCTTCCGTCATATCCGAAAACCATCGCATATTTGCTGCATAAAATGGACTCGACCGAATTGAAAGACCACGAAATAGCGATCGTGCCAAGAAGCTCATGTGTACTTCAACAAAAAGGAAAATGATGGTGATGTTGACGATGTGAATGCCTTCGCGAATGTGAATGCGACTTTGAATACGAATGCGACCTGGACCGTGACCTTGACTCGGAAGAAGATCGCGATCGGTGGCGATGATGGCGATGTCTCTCTCGATTTGGTTTTTCGTATATTGCATCATTTCTCTCTTCCTCCTCTCCTCCTCTCCGTCGTTCTCTCCTTCCCTCCTCCTCCTCCTCCTCTCCTTCTCTCCTTCTCTCCAGCTTCTCTGAATTCCCCGCTTTCCCCGCGGTAAAATTCGTCCAATCAGTGCTGGGCGAGACGATAACCGAATTCTCGATGGTTTCGATGTGACACACAGATCGCTCCCTGCCCTCCTCCACATCGCCGAGCCACTCAATTCGCTTTCGTTCGTAGAGTTTGAACATTTCGCGTGTGATTTGCTGGATGGTTTCGAGGCGCGTGTCGAACAATTCCCACCAATTCAGCGAAGGAAGGGGAATCTCGAGGGTTCTACGATGTATGGAAGTGCACGGAAATACATCGCAGCGAGGTAGATTGCAGCGCAGGCGATGGAGTGGGATGGGTAGGAGACACAGAGGGGTAATTGTTGGCTACATGATGAAATGGGTTAGGGAGAAAAACGTGTCATTTAGAATGTTCCAGGAACGTTGAGCCATCAGAGAGTCGCATCCCAGCTTGCGGATGAAGAACAAGATGTATCGTTGTGGAGGATCGGTAATGCCGTATAAGTGATATCCAAATGTGGAGAGAATGAGCTTTTCAGTGTCAATTAGAATGGAACGCCAGCGCAGGAAAATCTAAATCAGGGAACGCTTTGTATCAAAAAAAGTACTGGATCTGTTTCTGTTAATTTGGTAATCTCTTGGCCAGTTCGGCGCTGATAGATACGATAGAAAACCCGAATTACAACAGGAACAGGACGCATTTCCTCTTCGATTTTGGAACCAATGAAGAGACACGTCATGGCCACTACAAATAACCGAAAGAAATCAGCACATGCCGAAAAAGGGATGAAACTTCTGGAAAGAGTGAAAATAGTAAAACCGATGCAGCAGAATTTGGCCAGAAGCACTTACAACGGGAGTACTACAAATCAGCGCAATCGCATGAAAAATCACAATCCTAGCAATACAGATCCGTCACGAATCAGTTCGCAAGCAAAGCACCGATATTGGAACTCCAACTCACTATCCAATCCCTGTTGCACAGATGGCGAATTCTTCACCTCTTCTTGTGTCAAGAGCAAATTTTGCGTCCTGTTCATTCAATGTGAATCAAACAAGAATGATGGAATAAGGGCAATTAGTGTATTTGCAATAATCGGGTATATTTCTGTATTCCTTTTTTGAATTCTAAGCTTTATCCTTCATGCAGTATTCACGTTCATTCTCATGCAAAAATATGAAAAATTCATTTTTATCCTCAATATTAGGTCGTTTGGATCAAAGTGTTGAAATCGCTCCTATTTTTGGAAAGCTTGTCTGAAGCTAGAAAACGGATAGAGAATGTTATCACGCATTGCTCGTGTACAATCTATCCCAAGAGCATGGAATATCGTAGTTGCTAATAGTAGCAGAGTCGTACGAGCGCAATACACCGTTGTATGGTACTTCGCCTTTATTTTATTCTAGAGAACGTTCTATTGCTCTGCATTGAATCGGACTCCGTTTCAAGTTCAAACTCGCTCTTTTTCCACAGATAAGTGAGCATCCTTGTCTTTTTTAATGTAGACCCAAAGAGGCCAAACTTTCGAATCGTATCTTGACGATTCCTAACGTGATGTCTGGAATTCGTTTCGTCTTAGCTCCGGTGATTGGTTATCTTACCATCAAGGGGCTGTTCCTGCCAGGCTTGTACAGTATTCTCAAATGAAAGACCATCACGCTTAGCATTTGCCTTTGCAAGTGCCCTGGATTTTTGTGATGGATACATAGCTCGTAATTTTGATCAGAAAAGTCGACTGGGGTCGCTTATTGACCCCATCGCTGACAAGTCGCTCATGGTTTGTGTGGCTCTTTCCATGGGATATTCCGGATTAATTCACTGGCCAATTGCCGCAGTGATTATCGGAAAGGACGTTCTGATGGGACTTGGCTTCTTTGGCATTGCTTGGAAACATGGCTATCGCAGTACGTTCTTTTTCATCGCTTGATTGCAGGGCCTTCGGAGATGATGGAGATGGTGAAGTCACTCGAGGTGAAGCCTTCTCTCCTGGGAAAAGTGGGAACGAGGATCGAATCTGAGGAGTAGACGAATACAGCTTTGCAAATGTTGCTGTTCATCTCGGGTATGAGCAGACAGATCTGGATGTTCCCCGGAATCCAAATTTTCTTACCTTTGGAGGGAATTGTGACTTGTACGACTGTCGCGAGTTTGGTGACGTATGCCTTCACAACGAACAAGGCATTGAAGTGGAGCAATATGAAGAAGGAGAAGGAGAAGGAGGAAGATACGAATGGTGGTGATGATCACGTTGATACGCCTGAAGCTCCCAGTTCGTAATTTCGTTTCTTTTATGAATTCTACTCTGTTTGTTCGTCCGATCTGTTCGTTCTGGCACGATTCCAGAAATAGCCCTGAAAAACACAGAGGACATAATCTTGGTGAATTCAATCCATTCGAGTTGGATAGTTGGAATATCTTGATGGCGATGATAAGTAGAGCTCAATGTGGAAAAAATTTAACTTCTTTTCTGCGGAGTTGCTGCAATCGGCGGATCCTGGAAGCCCTTTGTATGCCATTCAAGTATTTGAGCGAAACTCATGGCTTACGACTTATAGGCACTGGATGTGACGTGTGTTACTTCTGGAAGAAATGCTCTTGTTATCGGAGACTCTGAAGGTGGTATTACTTTGTGCAGTGAGGATTTCTCTCTTCGCAGATTTGTTGCGCACGAGAGCTGTGTCAATTTTGCCTACCAAGTATTCGTTGGCGTGTTTTTGGACCTAGTACACATCTTCTAATATGCTGCTCACAATCGGAGACGGAACCGATTGCCGATCCATCGAAGATATCCAGTTCTCTCGGAACTTGGCGAAGCGATTCCGCTCTAATTTGCAAAGCAACGAAACGTATAACTGGATGCTCAGCGATCTTCACATCAATCCAAATATGCAGGATTCCTTCTCCATGGGAAATGCAACATTAAAGCTCTGGCTGCTGGATAGCTTCGACGAAAACGGCGTGCCTCTCTGTCTCCGATCCATGAAGCTCTTCGAAAAGATCGAAGAAGAGACGCTCACCACATTAGCCGTTAATGAGCCTTCGCATCTTCTTTTGTTCGGCTGCGCCAGCGGTCGCATCTATTCGCTCTTCGGCGATCTTCTTCGCACAAAGAAGATTGCGCCCATCGCTCTGCCCCCCAACTTCACCACTCCCATCACATGTCTCTCCATTTCCACGCCTCTTTCCGTCTCCTTTCCCCGCGGTTCTCACTCCCAGGACGCCAATCATCTCGTCGTCTTCGTGGCCACGCAGTCTCGCCTCGGCAGCTACGTCTTCCCGCTGGAGCCGAAGAAATCCGCGGTTTTCCAGGCGCTGGACGACGCCGCGGGCTGCGCTGCGAACTGCGGCTGCGTGGACAAATCGGGGAATTTCGTAGAACCGCGGTGAGAATGCGAGGTAGATGGTGGCTCGCGAGGAAGGTTTATTCGAGTTCTCCGCGACGGAGCGCGGACGAAGCTATCTGCTGGCGGGGGCGAAGCGGTTTTTGTTCTGGTACCGCGACAGCGCGGTGGTGAGCGAAGCGTCCGGCGAGGAATCGGCGCTTCGCTTGTTCAATTTAGCCAACAGCTGCGAGGTCTTCGCGATGCAGATCGTGCGGTGGGGTGCGAGAGCCGCGGGTGAATCGTAGAAACGGGCAGCCCGAGTCGGTCCGGTTTGTGTTCTCGGCGTGGGGATTATTGTTCTTCATGACGGAGGGACACGCAGTGTACGCGCTGCGCGAGAAGGAGACGCAAACGAAGCTGAGTCTGCTGTACGAGCGCGAGCTGTTCCCCGCGGCCTTGGCGCTGGGAGGCGAGTGGGGGCTGAGCGAGAAGGAAATGAGCGAGATCCACCGGATGTACGGCGACTGGCTGTACGAGCGGAAGGAATTCGCGGAGGCCATGCGGGAGTACATCTTCGCGATCGGGTTTTTGGACGCGTCGTACGTGATTCGGCGGTTTTTGGACGCGTCGCAGATCCACAATCTCACGGAGTATCTCGAGGAGCTGCACCGCAACGGGAAAGCGACGGTGGACCACACGGTTCTGCTGATGAACAACTACGTCAAGCTGCACAGCAACGAGAAAATCCAGGCCTTCGTCTACCAGAACGCGCTGGGAGAGCGCTTCGACGTCCCGGCGGTGATCGACGTGCTCGCTAAAGCCGGCTACTACCGCGAGGCGCTCTATTTGGCGCAGAGCCATCGCATCTATGAGCGCGTTCTCGCCATCCAGATCGACGAGACCGCCGCGTTCCACGACGCCATCGAGTTTGTCGCGACGTTGCCGGCTCCGGACGCTTCGAAGCTGCTCCAGCGCTACGGAAAGCGGCTCGTCGATGCGGAGCCGGAAGCCACGACGTTGCTGCTCTTGCAGCTCTGCGCGGCGCCTGCGAACGTGCAGCCGGACCGGTTTTTCCACTGTTTTGTGGACAACGCGGCGGCGTTGAAGTCGTTTTTGCAGAAGGTGGTGGCGATCCGGCCGGATTGCGGGACGATCGTGTGGAACACGCTGCTAGAATTGCTGCTTCGAAGGGATTTGGAGCCGACGGAGAGTCGCGAAGCGAATGTGGAGAAGGTGATGGAGCTGCTGCGCGACCCGCGAGCGAAGTACGATCCGGATGAAGCGCTGTTTTTGCTGCAGCGAGGGAAGTGCGAGGAGGGGTTGCTGTTCGTGTGCATGAAGCTGCAGCTGAGCGGAGTGTTGGTGCGGCTGTACTTCGAGGGAGGGCAGCGAGAAGAGGCGATGAAGCTGTGCGAGAAGGAGAAGACGGACGATGCGCTGTGGGAATTGCTGCTGCAGCTGTATGCGGAGAGCGAGGACTATCCGAAGAAGGAAGAAAAAGAAGAAGAAGAAGAAGGGGAGAAGAGTAGTGAATTGAATAATGAAAACAACTCGAATGAAAACAACTCGAATGAAAACAACTCGAACGAAAACAACTCGAACGAAAACAACTCGAACGAAAACAACACCTCTGAACCCACGAACGAACCCACTACAGATCCAGATAGTGGCAAGACTCGACACACGCAGCTCATCGATCGGCAGGAATTGGAGCGCGTGATCTCCAAAGTGCTCGAAAGCGGCTGCGTTCCCCTGCTTCGAATTGTGCAGATTCTCAGCGAGAACCCGCACATCGACGCTTCTCTGGTTCGCCAGGTCATCATCGCGCAGTTGGAAGAGGAAAAGCGTCTTCGCGAAGAGGTAGAAACCCCGATCGACGTGAACGATAGGACGAGCAGCAGGCCAAACAGCTCCGCGAGCAGCGAGAGCGCGTGGAGTCGGAGCTATCTCGCTTCAAGAACCACGCCTTCGCATTGAAACAAACGCGCTGTGTGGCGTGCGGACTCTCGTTGGAACGCCCCGTGGTGTATTTCCGCTGTGGACACTGCTTCCACAAAGCCTGCGTGGATCTGACCAGACGAGCGTGTCCCAAATGCGAAGAGAGCGCAGAACCGATAAAGAGCGAGCGGTTGGATAGCGACGCGCTCATTCAGCAGCTCAAAAAATCGCCGAACGGCTTTGCGTTCGCTGCAGATTGCTTCGGGAAGGATCTGTTCCGCGAAGAAGAAGCGAGCGCCGAGTTTGGACACGAGCCACAAGCAGCCGAGGAGTTTAGAGAAGGAGGAGGCGAAGACGATGAAGATATCCAGCCCGAAGACATTACGCACACGCTGGAATTGTGGAGTGTTTGTTACAAACAAAGCAAGGATGAAGGTATTGACGGATGAACGAGGAGCTGAGCGGATATTTGCTGCCTCGATTCACGGTGAGGATCTTCAGAGGACGCATTCCCTTCTCCTCGCGCACGCGATTGATGAGTTTGGCTCCAGGAAGCGTCTCCAGAGACACGACGATGGCTTCTAAGTCCGGTTTCACCACGGAGGGACCGTAGATATCGGTGAGGGGAGAAATGTCCACTTCTAAATGCGGGGAAATCCTATGCGACAGAGGGAAACGGGGACATTACGTGTGCAAAAAGTCGAGAACCAACGCCTTCCGTTCTTCGTACGACTGAATGAACTCGTGCTTCTCCTTCGATTGGAGCATGGAGTCCGTTGTGAGCTAGAAACAAATCGATCCTATTCCTAGAAATACGCCTATGATCAACTTGTCGCAAACGAGAGAAGCAAGAGTCAGCAAAATGCGATGGCCGGGATGTAAGCAGTCAAACGTACCACCCATACAAGCCATTTTATAGTGGACTGATTTCGAAGACTCGAAATCCAATCCGATTACATTCTCATCAAACAAATTACTATCGACCGAGTGGATCTAACTCAGAAAGTACAAATGCTATAACCTGCAATGGACAAAAACCTTGGCTCTGTCTTTGAGCATTCAGTTTCTCAATCTTACCGTTGTCAAAATAGGAAGGAACTGTCACCACTACAGTTTGACCTTCTGTTAACACATTTCCTTCTACCCTTTACGAGCATATACCGTTCGCTACCTCCTTCGACGTATGGAAGTACAATGCAGTTGGTTTGTATCTTCTTGTACAGTAAACAATAATCCCACAAGATGAGGTATAACGAGGAAATATATCTCTGGACCTCTTCACTTCTACAAATGCAGTAGAATACAAGCAAATACGTTCCAAAGAGGCAGATGGTGAGCTCTGTGTCCGTTAAGGCCTTAACCACTCTTTCCACAATAATATCGTTCGTTTGGGACTCTTTTGAGGATAGGGAAGAAGGTGCCTCAAGAAGCAAAATGGTCATAATAGTTTTATGTATTTTTTGTATATCTTTCATTTCCTGCTGTGTGTGTTATTCCAGCCCATCCACACCATTCAGGGAATATGCGTGCATAAATGCAGAAAAGATTCGTTCTACCCATATTATCCACATACTATTCAAAACTGATAACCATGCGTGAAGAATTTTGGAGGGAAACTCCATATCCTTACAAACACATTACTACCTTTCGGGATCCTCTGATTACTCCGAAATTTGGATCAAGAGTGCTTAGGAATACAATTCAACCAATAATTCCTTTCATTAGTAGCGGTCTTTGCTAAAATTGAATCATCCCCGCTTCCACGCTTAAGGCAAAATGCACAGTCATTTTTAATAACAAGAACTATTGAATCTATTGCTGCGTGATTAATTATAGAATTGACTAATAAGTAGAAAAAGGGACATGGCAGGAGTCAATTCATCTGGTTCGGTAGGCATTGTAAATGGAAGTGTTATTCTTTAGAATATCGATTTGGCTAGCGAGCAGTCAGAGAAGACTGGTGGGCTTCATGCCAGGGCGATAATCACTAGGACGCTGGGATGAAAAAGAACATGAACTTTTCTTACAAGGACTCCAAAAGTACGGCAACGATTGGAAGCAGATTGCAGGAATGGTACAATTCTAGCAGATACCGCCACATGTAGATTTCGACACGTAATCTTGTTCAGGTCCGTACGCATGCTCAAAAGTATTTTCAAAAGATTAACAGAAGCGTAAGATTCGGTCAATCGTGCAATGATAAGACATGTACTAAAAACATGTACAGTGATTCTCGGCGCAAGTCGAAGGAGTTACAACGTCCGTCGATACAGGAACCCGTAGCAAAACCTACGGCCACTTCTTCCTCTCCTGTTTCAGTGATAATGACGGAATCAGCCGCACAACCTCTCGTCTACCCGAAGATGGAAGTTCCCGTTCCCAAGGTAGAAACGAGGGTGGAGAACGCTGTTTTTATTGACTATCCAACAGTACTAACTCCACGATCTCCTATCTCGATCATGGATTATGGATTTTGCGATAATGATTACGGATCGGAGCCGTATCGCTGCGGATCGGTCACGGGAATGGATATGTCGCTGAACTTTGATAGCCTGGAATTGTTTGATTGCTCGGAATTGCGTACGCCCGTTTTTGAATAATTGTATTTTATTGTATGTGGGGTGTTTGTTGGAAAATTGGTGGGGTGGGAGAGAAGGTGGACGCCCCTTACGTAATTGTAGTCATGACGAAGTGGTTCTCTTTCGGAATGGGTAGAGCGATGCGTTCTAATTTGGATGGTATGATCTTTGGTGGAATGATCTCCAATTTATCCTATTTCTATCCACCAACCGGAGTACTTGGTTTGTAGCTCCTTCTTCTCTCTTTTGATTCATTTCCTGCAAGTTTTGTTTTCTTTTGTTATTTCGACTTCAACTCAACATTTATCGTTCCTTTTCCTAGTACGCACAATCCATACGTCTTATTCCCCACTATGCTCTCCAACAAACAATCCACAATTCCTCCTCATTCTTTACCCCCCAGTTGAACGCATCCAGAATGTTCAGCCGGATTCGGAACAATCCCTTCTTCAGCGGAGCGATGTTCTCTCCCTCGACAAACTTGGTCAATCTGGCTCGCTCGTCCTGCACATACTTCTCTCCCTTCTCCGCGATCTTCTTCAGAATCGACGCGTAAATCCGCTTGCTCTCCGCCACCTTCGCCTCCGTCTTCTCCAAGATCGCCTCTACCTCCTTCTGCAGCTCCTCGCTGAAGCCCTCCGCCTTCTGCAGCACCTCGTCCACCTCCGCAATGCGTCCGTAGCTCTTCTTCAGCGACCCGTCGGTCTCTCGCGCCGTTCCCGCGTGCTTGTTCACGAACGCCACCAGCGAAGCCAGGTCGCGCGCCTCCTTGTAATCCACGATCTCGCCGTTCTTGAACAGTTTGAGCGTCGGGTAGCCCGCCACGTCGTACGCACGCGCGAGGTCTTTGTATTTGTCCGCGTCCACTTCCGCGATGATCACGTTCTTCTCCTCCGCGAACACGTCCGCCAGCTTCTTGTAGTCCGGAGCCAGCTTCTTGCAGTGGCCGCACCAGGGCGCGTAGAACTTCACGAAGACCGTCTTGCCTTCCTCGCCGATCGTTTGGTCGAAGGTACCGGGGGTCAAGACCTTCACGTTGTTGGTAGCGCCCTTCACCGTCACGCGCGTACCTGGGGATGAGAGAATGGGAGCGAGGCCTACCCATCTTTTCGTTCAGCCAGTTCGTAAGGGCTTCGGCAGAGCGCTCGCCTTGGTAAACTTCCGGAGCGTCCGGATGGCCGGCAGGGAAGAACTTGAGCGTGGGGTATCCGTGGATTTCAAAACGGTTGGCGAGTTCTCTGTCCTCGTCAGCATTCACTTCCGCAATCACCACATTCTTCCTAAACGTGACGCAGCGAACTAGATACTACACTCTAGCGAACGATTCCGCCAGAATCTCGTATTCCGGAGCAAGGTGCTGACAATGTCCACACCACTACACATTGAATGGAGCAAAGCAATTCAAACAGGAGCATAAAATTTCACAAACACGTTCTTGTCTCCATTTACGACCTCATCGAAGTTTTCGTGAGTCAAAGGAACCACACGAGCGTTCTATTTCGTGATTCTCCTGTCCTCTGTCCTACGACCAACGCAATGATAAAAAGGAGTGTAATAGCGAACATTATTAATATTTTGTTCTCACTCATTTCATTTTATCAAACATTCCGCGGTTATTCATGGACTCCAATGATACTGTTCAGAGAGCATTAAGGTACTCGGTCTACTCTATTGATACTAATAAAATCAATTATCTCTCTAAATACGGCAAATAATAATTAATAATTGTGGGGGTAAAAAAAGGGCGGGTCCGTGGAGTAATCGTGGGGGCTTTAATCCTACCCAGGGGGTCATCACTTTCTGGGCAAACATCTAGGAGTTCCAGAAAGAATTATCTTCTTCAATTCATTCGTGTTAATCAAGAATGGGTAAGGGGTAAGTATTGAACAGATCATTTTGGAGTTGGGAGTGGTTGAGTTTGGCAATTGCCTTGTGGAGCCAATTTCTAACATTGAAAATAGTAAACCTTGTGGTATTCGTGCTGCTCGCAAGCTTCGCGTGGTCCGTCGCCAGGAGCGTTGGGCCGATAAGGTAATCTCGTCTGGAGCGTCGAAATAATGTGTAGAAGTACAAGAAGGGACACAACATCTCTTCTATTAAGGCCAATGTGCTCGGAGGAGCTACCATGGCCAAGGGAATTGTCCTCGAGAAGGTGTACGTGTTTCGTGGTGTGGAGTGATGGTTAGGGGAGTGGAGGCTAAGCAGCCCAACTCTGCCATTCGTAAGTGCGTGCGTGTGCAGCTGATCAAGAACGGCAAGAAGATCACCGCTTTCGTTCCTCGCGATGGTTGCTTGAACTACGTGGATGAGAACGACGAGGTGCTGATTGCTGGATTCGGTCGTTCTGGACACGCCGTGGGAGATATTCCCGGAGTGCGTTTCAAGGTGGTGTGCGTGTCGAAGACCTCCTTGCTCGCTCTGTTCCGCCAGAAGAAGGAGAAGCCTCATAGTTAACCTGGTTGGTGCTCTTATGAAGAAGAAGATATGACGGACTGGTTTGTTGCACAAAAAGGGATCCACAGTTTGAATCATACTCATTCTCCCTTCCTCACCATCATTCTCACCATTTTCATCATTGGAAGGGAAGCAATAGCAGCAGGCGATCGCGACTTACAGCAATCCCTGCATCATCTTCAAGAAGGAGTTCAGTCGTCCCTCTGAGAGCGGGCAATGAGGCGGGAATCGCTCTGGCGAGTCGAAGAGATCGGCAGTGACCTCCATCGTCTAGATCACACTCTCACGCTAGGCTTACATCCTTGTTGTGGAACCGATACTGCGCTTCCTGCTCGAATTTGGTGCGGAGTGCAGTTAAGTCCCTCAATCAATTCATTCATTGAAGCAATGACTCAATCAATGAATCAATGATTCAATGATTCAATGATTCAATGATTCAATGATTCAATGATTCAATGATTCATTCAATTCATTCAATTCATTCAATTCATTCAATTCATTCAATTCATTCAATTCATTCAATTCATTCAATTCATTCAATTCATTCAATTCATTCAATTCATTCAATTCATTCACTCAACTCATCACAAAGATATATTCCTTGCTCTCCGAAATCATGTACAGCTGCGACTCCATGTCTCGGAAGTACGACCGCATTCCGAAGTTCGGGCTTCCGATCGTGACCAGCGCTTCCGTCCGATCGCGCGGCAGCAGCCACAGCCCCTTCGAGTGGTACGTCCAGTTCTTGTTCAGATACTCCAGGCTACGCTCCTCACCGAGAATCAACGCCTACAAGTGCGCGTCTGCGTGGCTTTCCTGGCATCGGTGGAAGAAATTGCACTGCAGCTAGCAATTAGTGCGTCCAATCAGATGAACGATATTGTACAACGCGGGAATCACCGAGGCGAAGCCAGGGTCGTGGAAGAACGAGTTCGCCTGCGGGGCTGCGAACAGATATCGCATTTTCCCGTTATATTTCGATAGGACATCCACGATTTCCGCGGGGAAATTGACATAACCGGAGGTGAGATAAAGATCGGTGTCCTGGAAGCGCGAAGCCACGTCGAGCACACCCTTGAAACTGGTGTAATCGGCAGTGAGATTGAGTGCTTCTTGCTGGAAAGTGGGATAAATCAACACATCGGCATGCGATGCGCTGCATGTCGCATCTCCTCCGGTTCGAAGCAACTCCATCACACGGCTTCGGAACTCGTTGTGGGTTCGATTACTCGACACTACATCGCGAAATAACCAGAAAACACACTATAACGACTCACTCGGCCAGATTCTGCAGAGATCGTGGAACAGTATTCCGATAAAATGGCAAAAAAACTGGGATTTAAAAGGAAAAAAGAGAGGGAAAACTTTTCGTAGTAATTAATTAGATCGGGGCAGTTTTCGAAGAGAACATAGCGATCAATGCGAGTTGTGAAATAATCGTTCGAAAGATTCGCGCCGCTGATGATCATGTTGTTATCGAAGATGTAGCTCTTGATGTGGTACACGCTGAGAATTTCGTTCCATCGAGGCGGAAGGAACTGCGTGACCAGGTTCTCGGAAAGCACCGGCGTGTAGAGATAGACATTATGTCTGATGATTACTTGCACAGAAACAGAAAGCAAACCTTTCTCCATATTTCATGCAGAGAGGAGTGAGCATCCCCGAACTACTCTTCCCTCGCACCTTGCGACAACCACGACCCTACCTGAGAAAGAAAACACTCTCTCACCTTATCCAGGAACCACTTTACCTTCAAACCCGGCTCCTTTTGAAGCGCATTACTCACGGAAGATACCAGCTTCTCCTCCAAATCTCCAGTTCCCAAATAGCTAGTCCTTAGCAAGACGCGGAAGGATTACAGAGACGATAAAGTTACACGTTTCTTTGATTGCTTAACCTGTTCCTACACATCACCGGAACCGTCATTTTTTACAATAAGCATATTATAAAATTCATCTGGATTAAGCAACACCTACGGTTCGAACAGATACAAAAGGAAAACCCGAATGTTCTTAGAGCTCACCGGAAATCCGTGGATTCCAGCGGATTCAAACACAGAACACATATTCTGAGCGAACTTTGAAGCAAACCTGGGAGCGCACGCCATTTTTTGGGCCAAATCGGCGCAAAGCAAAACAGTCGTTTTTCCAACAAACAGCCAAAATCGTTCTCAAATCCCCAATAACGTGTTATTTCTCCTGTCGCGCGTATTCTCGCGAATTGTTTCCGTGGTACCGATCATAGTTCTGCTTTTTATGGTTCACTACGTGTAATGCGCCAGCTCGGCACGTACAGATGAAAGGCTCAATGCGAACGCTTCTCCCGCACACCAGAATCTCCTTCTTGCTCGCCTCGATCCTATCGTACACTTCGTGCGAATTGAAATCGCGGTTTTGTTTGTTGAAGCTCACCGTCGCGTACTTCTTCCCCTCGAAGATCTTGATCTGGTTGATTTCGCCAAACTCGTTGAACGCTTCGATCAGACTGCTCTCCGTACAATCATCGGGAATGTTCTTCACGAAGATTCTACCTCGCATTCTCCATTCGTTTCCTACATTTCGAACAGTGGACGCGACGAATTCTCACGAGGACGCGTGTCATCGCGATCATCCCGATGGTTATCGCGATGGACGAATTTCTTTCGCTCTTGTGTTTTTGCATGGTCTGCCACGCGGCGAGGCTCCCGTTCCGAGGGAGCAGAGCTTGCTTCCTGAGCGAGATCCGCGGAGAACTCGATGGCGTTCTTGTCGGACAGAGTTTGGGGGACGAGGAGAGAAAGTGTGTCAGCTCGAATGTAGAAAACGCGGGGTGTGTCCTCTACCGTGAAGAAACATCAAATCACTAACTTAGTTTCTCTAAGATGAAACTCTGGGTAAAATAGCGAGTTTCTCCTTTGATTGTGAGTAAACCATTCACGGAGAGAAGGTAATGCTCTGACACTCATAACAACCAACCATTCTCACTCTCTCCAAAACACACACAACTTGTGCTTCCGCTCGAAATGTTCACAACCGCATTATATAAATTGAACTGTTGAATACCTTTGGCTATCTGCTCTTTTCCAGTGTACGTTTGCTCATTCTACGATCGAGATGAAAAGGATATGCTTACTCTGTTTTGCGTGTCATAAATACACATAATCGAGTTTTCCCCATATATATTCTGAAGTTCTTCCGGACAATAGGCCATATTCGTGTAGTAGTATTCTACGAACACTGCTTTTAGGATTTGTTCTGTCATCTCTTGACTATTCAGTAGTCAGCAAAATAAATATGCTACTGTAAACTATAATATCTCCCAATCAATATATATATAAATCTGCAATCAATGCAAGATTAATATTGAATGGGCATAAAATATCAAAAGGTGTATAAAAAACGACCTGGACGTTTCAGTTTGTATGTTGTTATGATTTTTTCTCTCTGAATTTGAGTGATTTGCTTTGTTTTATGGTCGGATCTAAAAGTATACTTTGAAATAAGGCTATAATGTAAATTTTCCCTAAATCTGTGATATCCTATTTTACCTTTAATATTGACTTTATTCTGCGAAATAGAAGCATATTTCATGATGATACAATGGTCGTGTTAGTATTCTATAAATAAGAGGGCATTCAGTAATTAATTGCTTCTTATTCTGACCATTGAACGCCCCTTCTCTGGTCAACTACATCCACTATTATCGGTTTCACCAGAATATAGAATGGTAAGTTTGGCTTCGGATGTGTTGTTGAGTGAGAAAGAGAGTGTGCAACTTGTTTTGGGCACTTTTCTCGGTTGAACTGTGATCTAACTCGTTTGTGTAGCCTAGCAGATTCAGCAAGAACAGAAAGGCTAGAGGTCACGTTAGCGCTGGCCATGGTCGTATTGGTAGAGTGTTTGCTGTTTCCGTGATTTGTAGGTAAGCATCGTTGCCATCCTTCGGGACGTGGTAAGGCCGGAGGTCTTCACCACCTGCGTATCCTTTTCGATAAGTTGTAAGGGGTTTGTGTCATTGTTCGAATCTAGCCACCCTGGATACTTCGGAAAGGTCGGTATGAGACACTTCCACCTGAAGCGTAACACTGAGTACTGCCCTACCATCAACGTGGACGAGCTGTGGCATCTGCTCCCTGAGGAGGCTCAGCAGCAGGCCATGAAGGACACCACCAAGGCGCCCGTGATTGACCTCAAGGCTCACGGAGTGTTCAAGCTCCTCGGCAGAGGTCGCATTGAGAGACCGATCGTGGTGAAGGCCAAGTTCGTCAGCAGTATTGCTGAGAAGAAGATTAAGGCTGCTGGAGGTGCTTGTATCCTCACTGCTTAAAATGGTGGGTACGGTGTTATCGATATTTGTCTTGTTTGTTGCAATTAACGCAGAGGAGTTGGGATGGAAGAAGAGTGGAGTAGCTTGGTCGCAGAACGGAATAGAATAGTGCAAAGCAGCTTGCTATCAAATGGAGGGAAGCATTGAGATGAAGGGAACAAACAAAGAGTTCGAAATTGAAATCGAGGAAAGAGGGAAATCGGTCTTATTTTTGGAATTAGCAATCATTCGAATTAATTAATTAATAAAAACAATTTCAACTATGAAGCGCGAGGGAGCAACCAAATCGACAGATGTCGTGGAGGAGAATACGTGGGATGTTTTTCGGGTTTTTGAAAGTGTAGAAGCAAAAAGGTGGAAGTGGAGAAGGTGGAGGACACAGAAAAGGAGGTTGAATACGATGTGTCTGTTTGTATCCTGATCCACGTTTGATACATAGAAGATGACCGATGAGGAGCTTCGTGCGAAGGTACCTCCCGAAAAGTGGGGAAGACCGGTGCGCCTTTATGCAGATGGTATTTTTGACCTTTTCCACTATGGTCATGCAAGAGTGGGAATCTGTGTTTCGGTTCGAACTTGTAGGCGCTTGAACAAGCCAAGAAATCCTTCCCCAACACGTATCTCATTGTTGGTTGCTGCAACGACGAGTTGACTCACAAAATGAAGGGAATGACCGTCATGACGGAGAAGGAGCGCTATGAATCCCTCCGCCACTGCAAGTGGGTGGACGAGGTCGTGCGCGACGCTCCGTGGGTAGTGACTAAAGAATTTTTGGACGAGCATCGCATCGACTTTGTCTGCCACGACGACATTCCGTACGCTTCTGCTGGCCACGACGACGTATACAAGGAGATAAAGGAGATGGGCCGGTTCCACGCGACCCAGCGCACGGAGGGCGTATCGACGACGGAGCTGATCAACCGAATCATCGCAAACTACGAGAAATACATCAAGCGAAATCTGGAGCGCGGCGTGCCTGCGAAGGAGATGAACGTGGGGTTCGTGAAGGTAGAGGAGGGGCAATGCGTGGAGCATAGGAGCAATCGATCAAGTTTGATATTCTGATGGACAAATGGATGGAGAAGGCGAAGAGCATGCGGCCTGGTTTCCTGCACATTTTCGATAAGGACACGATCGTAGGTCTGCGAGTGGGCGGGTGAGGCGTAGCTGAAGAAGATGAAGGACGGAACGGACAGTTTGAAAGACACGGTGGCTGGTTTTGCGCGCCAGACGTTCCTCTAAAGTTGAGTTGATGTCGATTTGATTATTTGATTATTTGATTATTTGATTGTTTGTTTGTTTGTTCAATAAACAGAGTATCGTCGCGTCACTTTTCGCTTTGCTTGTCCCTGCTTGCACTGATTCGCGGTCGCTGCGAAGTTCAGCGAGCAGAGACTTTCTTGCGCCGACTCGATCGCCGGACTGAGATTTACAAACATGAGCGTCTTGCCTTCTTTGGAGAGACAATCCTTCAGAATCATCGTGAGCTTGCTGTCTCGGAAGTTTACATGCGGACTGTTGTTCCGGATATTGATGAACACATTGCTCAGCGCGCTCAGCGACCGATTGATGAACTTGGCCTCCTCCAGCGACTCGCCCTTCGAGTGCGACTTGTCCAGCCGCTCGCTACCCGCCAGATCGACCAGATTCAATCGCCCGTTGATCACGCTGTTCTTGGCGCGATTCTCCCCATAGATATATCTACGCCCTATTCACTCCCTTCCAGCCTCTACAGCGTAAACACCACGTGGCTTCGCGAGGACTCGTCGTTCATATCCGTGCTCTGCAATTCACTCGCTTCTCTCCACGCCTACTCCCACCGCGCGGCACGCCGACGCCACCTCCATCAGACGATGAATATGCTGCTGCGTCTGCACGCACAGCTTCGTCACGTTCGTCAAATACGGATGGCCCTCCGCCTATTCCTCATCCTCGGCCCGCTCGCCCACATCGAACTTCACCTCGATCTTCGGGTGCGGCCGCGCGTCGCGCACCAGCAGATCGCGCACCACCTCGCGGTAGATCTCCACGAACGACACTTCCAGCGAGTATTCCCAGCCCACATCGCGCAGTCGCTCCACCTCCGCCATGATCTTCTCGATGCTCCGCGGGACGATACCGCGCGCCTCCTCTTCTCCCACGCCCTGCATCGTGTACGTCTTCCCGCTGCCCGTCTGCCCGTACGTGAACAAGCAGACGTCGTACCCGTCCAGCGCGCTCTGCACGAAGTTCGAGACCTCGTCGAACACTTCTTCCTGCGTCGAGTCCGTGCCGAACGCGCCGTCGTACGTGAACCGCGTCGTTTTCTCTTTGTATTTCACACACACTGTCGCGTCGCCCTCCACCCAAACCGCGGGAGAACGCCCGTTAATGCGGTCAGAGAGGAGCGGCGGACGCACACGCGCGATGACGCGGAGGTTTCCGCGGAGTTCTTGGAATGTGTTGTGCAGACGGCGCCGCGTGAGCTCGCTTTCCTGGGCACGTGCCTCGAGTTCTTCGATCCGTCCTGCAGTTTCTTTGATTTCCTCGCGTTTGTGGTCGCGATCGTCACACTGAGCGTGAGAAAGAGAAGGAAGGGAAGAGGATACGATGGTTTGGAGCTGCTGGATTTGCTCTTGGAGATGATGAACGCTGGTGAGATAGGACTGCTCCTCGGCGGTGGAGGATTTGTGGAGAGCCTCCACGTCACAGCGAAGCTGCTCGTTGGCTTGGGAAAATTGCTGGATTTCGCTTTGGAGTTGGTCTAGAAGGGGTAAGAAAGGGTTCGAAGGAGTGGAGTGGAAGGACAAGGGAGCGAGTTGGATGAAAGATTGGGCTATCATAAGATAAACAAGCAACAAGCTTCTTCAGGATAAGGACGAGATTTGTCTTCATCACATCAGACAAGATTATTCATCAACAGAAGCTTCTCCACGCGATTGAATGGATTCATTGAATGGATTCATTGAATGGACTCATTCAATTCACTCATTCAATTCACTCATTCAATTCATTCAATTCATTCAATTCATTCAATTCATTCAATTCATTCAATGATTCATTCAATTCATTCAATTCATTCAATTCATTCAATTCATTCAATTCATTCAATGATTCATTCAATTCATTCAATTCATTCAATTCATTCAATTCATTCAATTCATTCAATTCATTCATTCAATTCCTACCTATCTGACTCAGCTTTGCCTCCTTCTCTTTCGCCCACTTCTCGTCGCCTTCGCTCAGCTCTTTCTACACTCACACTTCCACACAACGCACACCTGCTGCGTCGCACGTCGCTGCAGCAACAACTTCTTCTCGCTCGAATACAACTCTTCCTGCTCCTTCAAATCCTCATTCAGCTGCACCAATCGCCGATTCTTCTCCGCCAAAACCTGCTTCGCCACCAAAACACCCTGCTTCTGCTGGTCCACTTCGCTTCGCCGCGATGCATTGAACGCTTCCTTCTCCTGCAGCACCTGCATCAGCCGCTTTTCCTCTTCCTGCATCTCCAGCACGCGTCGCGACACGTCATCCAGCTGCAGCTGATCGTTCTGCGTCTCCGCCTGCAGCCGCGTCACCGCCACCAAGTTCGACCGATAGTTCTCCTGCAGCGAGGCAATGGAGCTCTTCAGCTCTTTCAGCTCCTCCTCGCAGGACGCCTGCTTCTGCTGCATGTTCTTCACGATCAGCGTCTTGGTCTCTTCGTTCTGCTGCAGCTGCAGCTGCTTCTCCGCGAGCGTGCTCTGCGTCGTCTGCTTCTCCGCCTGCGCCTTCTGCAGCCGCTCCATCACCACCTGGTTCGTCTCCGTCGCTTCCTTCAACAGCTGCTGCGTCTCTTCCTCTTTGACAGTCTCCTTGCGAAGCACGTCTTGCAGAGACGCCAGCTCCGCGTCCGTCTTCTCCTTGGTGGCTTGCTGCGTCGTGAGAAACGCTTTGCGGTCGCGGTCGAGAACCAGAAGCGTCTGCTCGTCGTCCGCGATAAACGAATCCCATTTCTTTCGCACGATCTCTTCCCGTCGCTTCCGCTCTTCGCGAATTAACGCCAAACTGCTCTGCAGCGCATCGATCTACGTTTCACCCCCTTCTCTCCACGACTTCTTGCGCTAGATTCTGCAGAGCACTGCGAAGAGACGCGACTTCCGCGCTGTATTTCTGCACCGTTCCCGAAAGCTGCTGGATTTCCGGTGCTCCTTCCGCGGACTCCTTTTCAAACTTGGCGATCTATCGCTCATTCTGCGGCTCTTTGCGCACCTCGGCCTGCAGCACGGCGAGCTGGTCCTTCAACGCGAGATACGCAGTGTTGAGCTCGCTGACCTCCGCGACGACCTGCTGGTTGTGCGCGCGAAGCGGCTGCTCCTCGTGCGAGCTGACCTCGAAGTTGTGTTCGACGCAGCGCGTGTAGCAGATGTACAGCCGCTCGATTCGATCGCATTCGCGGACACATCTACCTCGCACCGAGCGCGTTTGCCTACTCGTTTCGGATCCGCACCGCGCGCTCCAGCGCTCGATGCACGGTGTTCATGATGCCGTCGAGTTCCTCGATGCGGTTCCGCAGCTTGGTTGGCGGGTTGTGGATTCGCATCACCGCCGCCGCGCTGCAGGTCGCTTCCAACTCCTCCAGGCAGCGCACCGCGGCGAAGAGGCTGCCCCGGACCGGCTGCTCGGTGAGCTCGATGATGGATTCGCTCTGGAAACGCGCCTGCAGGTCGGCGGGGATCGCGGGAGGGAAGGTCAGCTCGACTTCGGAGAAGGACTCGGAGGCGTTTTGCGCGTGGCGAACGAGGCGAGGCGTCGAGAGCCGCGAGACCGGAGAGGATTGGAGAAGCGGAGGCTCGGTGGGACGGCTGTGGACGGAGGTGGCGGGAGAGGAAACGTTGGATCGGGAGGCAAACCGGGTGCGATTGGGAGCGGCGGAAACGCGCGGAGAGAGGGACGGGGGAGGAACAGAAACCGGAACAGTAGCACGACTGCGGATGGAGGGAGAGGGAGAAGGAGAGGCAGATGGAGAAAACGTGTTCGAACGATGGGCAGAGTTAGTTGAAGAAAAGAAAGCAGTTGATGGCAGGTTGGAACGACTGTGGACAGAAGAAGGAGATGCGGCATCCGAGCGGACAGAAGCACGACTTTGAATGGGAGTAGAAACAGTTGCTCGGGGGCTGATGGAATTGGCTGGGAAAGGGGACCGACGGTCACGTTTCGGTTGATAGCTCAACTGGCGGGATGACGCTGGAGAGAGTGACGGGTTCATTACGGCATCACTAGCTCGTTTCTTGGTTGGCAATTCAGACAACTGACTTCCTTGATTTATACCATTTTCGTGCCAGGGAGATGACGTTTTCGCCACAGAAGTTACTTTACTAGGAGTTTTGTTACTGACAGTCTGTTGAGAATTTAATTTACTTGTATCGTATACAGGCTTCCAACCAAATGTTCTTTTGGCACGTCTGGGCTCTGTGAGTTGACGTTCTGATAGACTGTCACTAGACTTGGAATACATCTCGCTCTTGTTATTCTGGTGGAAAAAAAGGAAAATCCAGAAACTTCAAGAGAGAGAAAGCGAAAAGATGGCAACCTAACTAGAATGTGTAGCAACAAACACACGGATTTATATACAATTTGCTCTCCTTAAGGAATAGGCTTAATCTTGAAGTGTAGAGAAATGATCGAGATAACGAGGCATTTCAGATCCTGAACCAGATAATAAAATGCACGCAAGCCCTCGGGATCTTTACTGTTTTGAATAGCTACCATTGTACTAATCGTCGAACACTACCATTTACCACTCAAAGTTAGCAATACTAAAAAGAAAATGTGCTTATTGTCTAAGATAATCTCTAATTCCTGACGGCCTTCCGTTGTAGGCTCTGGCCAGTTTGCATCATCCTCCTGAATGATCTCACTTTTCTCCACAATTCTACGCACCTCGTCCATCACAGCTTGGGACACCTTCACTACGCTTAATACGCTAGTTCGGCAAATACCTTCTTTTCGGATCATTACGTCGTTCTTATAGTTCGAGTTATTGGCATAGCGCAGAGTGCCGTCACTTTTGAATTCAAATTCCATGAATTCGTGACCATACTTTCCTTTGTGGCCAACACTAGAAATAACGCTCACATCCACAGAAGATCTACTAGTAACGAAGCTGAAATTTATTATCAGACATCTAGAGGTGTATTTAGAGAGAAATATTGAATAGCTACATAATTACGGTTTTTGCGCACTTTTGGCAGACTATCAAACCATTTTGTAAACAATCGTTATTATGCATATTTAATTTGTATCTGTATCTTGTATTTTTCATTGTGTTCCAGGGCTAGGAACTCTATTGATAATTTCAAAAAGAGGATGGATGGAACGGAACTGTTACCTCCCAAAACCGTACGAACAAACCGAATTGTGGATATGGAGCTACTGCTTAATAAATAGAAATATCTATACAACTTTCCAAGAAAATCTATCTCTCAGTCAAGCACTGAAAGTTCAACATTTGTCGGATTAAAATGTCCATCGTCTAGTAACCATGATTCATTAGAACCTCAGGAAAATGCAAATACTCTATATCTAACTACAAAACAAACCATTCTTCCGACAACTACTTCCCATCATAGGGATAAAAATCGGATACTCCTTGGCAATTCTTCCACAACTCCGAGATCGGATACTCCTGTCCAGAGAAATGTATCACTTGTTTTGTATCATTCGGATTACGTGAGTGTGAAGCAGGACCCAAAAGGGAGCTTGATGTCAAAGCTACCTGTTATTATGGAAGAAGACGAGGATTCGCTGTGTGTGCAAAAGTCTTTAAATGACTGTTATAACCGGATTCAATTGCTATGGGATGATGCCCTTTTCTTAGAAAATCTTCTCTCACCAGCGAAGCCAAAACATAACTTGAAGCGATCTGCTGATTGTATTATGGACCAACCTCAGTATCATTTTTCATATCTTCGGTCCTTCGGTCATCTCAGTGACAGTGCCTTTGCCTATCATCATAAAAGCCAACTCTCAGATACTCGGCCTTACCAACTCTACAGACAATTCTCTTCCTTTTCTTCCAGCCATACGAACCGAATGATTTCTTATTTGCAAATTCGATTACGAGTTGTTCGAGAGACATTTGCATCCACGTTCAACACTTCTCTCTCACAAGAACAGCAAACTCTTGCCTCGAAAGTTCTAGAGCAGATTTCTCAGGTAAGCGCATGCATTTCTAGAATTTGGAGGCTTTTTCTGAGTCGAACTGAGGACTCTGATGCGGGTCTGTTTGAGAGTGGCGAGGAAAGCGATTACACAGTGTTTTCAAAAGCAAAGAGTGAAGGAAGTGGAGGAGAATCTGAAAGTGGGAGAGAAGAGTGGGTTTCTTTGTGAGAATGGAAGGAATGACTCATCTATAGAGTGCATAATTCGTGTTGTTTTTCAGCGTCCTGCAGAATGTATTAGTTGCTTTTGCATATTTGGCTTTTGGTTTTTGGTTTTCTATGCTTGGCATTGCGTTGCTATATCTGTATGAATGTATTGCTGAATAACTGTTATTGATTTCTCTATTTTCTATTTATTGTTTGTTTTGCAAACGTATGGGTAATGTGTGTGATTGATAGAGAGGGTCTTGAATGATAAGGTGGTGGATCTTTTCATGGTTAGGAGATGAGATTTGAACATTGAATTTTGATGGGATTGGTAGAGATGATAGTGGAGAATGATAGATATCGCTGATACTCTTATAGATCATTGTGAGATATCGATAGGGTATTGAATAGTTGGTTGTGATGATGTGTTTACATTCTGATTGGGTATGATTGTTGTTATCCTATGGTTGTTTGTATAATAGTTATGGTATTATTGTAGTTTATGATACAATACTCTTGAATCTAAATTGGAATTGTCACCAACAAGGATGAGAGCAAACAATATACGTTCCAATACTTCACAATATAGCATGATAATGAAGTCCATTGGTATTTGATTGTGTAATTGACTGATACACAAAGATCAACTGACAATACTTATTCATACAATTGTTATTGATTGGAATCATATAAAATGATATGACTTGATTCCAAAATAGCAGTGTTGAACAAAAGATATCAGTAATAAACGTACTTAATCTTTATTGAGTGTGTCATGCTACTACTGAAATGTGGATTCAACAAGTTTTTCCGTGTTCATAGTATCTAATGATAAGTCCTCAATGTGAAAGTGGGTTATATGCGTATTCTACATTCCCATAAGTGTTATACTATCGATATCATGATTTGTAGATAAGAATCCACTTCAAACAAACCAATAACTAGATATGGAATGATATAAAAAGGATGTTCAAACAGATGAATGACTATCCATTGTCCAAAAAAGAGGAGTGAGAATAGAAGAGCCATTTACGAATGAAATTAAAACAAGCATACAATATTCGACATTGATCTTGATTGATCCAACTCAAATAAGCGACCTCCCTGATCACCCTTGTTCATAGTTACTCTGTTTATGCTTCCAGTGGCAACGAATAAAATACTACGACCAGTCACTTCTCAAAACAATAATTTTAATCATTATGAGGTAAATCACAAGAAAATCACTTCATTCGTTACAACTAACAACTGAATGGATTGATACAGGTGGAACGGACCGTTTCCCAGTTTTCTTCTTTCGATATTACAAAGGGATTGACAAAAGGATGAATCGATTGTTGAATGAAACGCCTCTCATTGAGAAATAGCAAAGACTTTATTAATACAATGGAAGAGATTGAAAATATCTGCAGTATGCCTTTAGAGCACATGAAGAAGGTCGCTGCCTATATCCAAGACCAAATGATTAAGGGATTGAAGGGAGAGCCTTCTGATTTGAAGATGCTTCCTTCCTTCGTGGACAGCGTTTGCACAGGTGAGATAATGGAAAGAAACCTGACACTTAGGAATGGAGCAGGGATTCGCCCTGGCTCTTGACATGGGAGGCAGTAATGTGCGAGTTACCGAGTACGAACTCAAAGGCAACGGCGTTCTTGACGTGGTGAAGGAAGTGAAGCACGCTTTTCCTCCAGAGTACATGTCTGGAACCGCCGATCAAGTTTTTGGCTTCTTGGCTGATTGCGTGAAAGAAGCAGACCCAGCACCTGGAACAAAGCTGGGCTTCACCTTTTCGTTCCCTTCCGAGCAGACAGCCATCAACCACTCGACGCTGGTCATTTGGACCAAAGGATTCTCAGCCAGCGGATGCGTAGGCAAGGATTCTGTGGAACTCTTGGAGAACGCCCTCCGCGACCGTGGCCTGGACCTCAAAGTGACTGCAATCTGCAACGACACGGTGGGAACGCTTATCTCGCGCTCCTACGGTGATCCGCAAACCGCAGTGGGTATCATTCTGGGAACCGGCTGCAACGCGGCGTACATCGAAGACGCAGCGCGAATCACCAAATGCGACCCTCATTCCACCACAGGCAAGATGATCATCAACATGGAGTGTGGCGCGGTCGGCGACAATCACCCTGAAATTCTCCCAATGACTCCATTTGATATCGCGTTGGATCCGCTGACTCCCAACGTCGGCCTGCAACACCTGGAGAAGATGATGTCTGGGTTTTATCTGGGCGAGTTAAGCCGAATGTGGGCAGTGCGCCTGTGGGAGGAAAAGAAATTGTTTAAGAATCACGATGGCCATTGCGCATTCTTCACGAAGCACATGTCGTTCGACTCGAAGTACTGCTCGCTGGTTTTGGGCGACAATTCGGCGAATTTGGAGGAGGTGAATCGAATTCTCACACAATTCGATGTGACTGGGTCCACAAAGGAGGATCGGGAGATGATGCGGCGCATTGTGTATTTTATTGTGCGTAGATCCGCTCGACTCATGGCCTCGTTCATTTATGCGATTTATAATCACATGGGAGAGGCGTACAATGGATGTACTGTGGGAGTGGACGGAAGTGTGTATAAGTTCATGCCATATTATCAGGGATGGGTGTTCGAGGCGTTGGAAGAGTTGGGAAGAAAGGATATTGATATTGGGTTGGCGGATGATGGGTCGTCGATCGGTGCAGCACTTATTGCTTTTATGGTTAAGGATAATGCATAAAACCAGTGTGAAGTTGTTTGTTTGAATCAAAGGCGGTCAAGCTGTGGAGGAGACGTACAGTGGTGAATTGTTCACCTTGATAATCAAGAAAGCGTGACAACTGCTTGGAATCTTTTCGAACCTTTTTTGTCATTATTTGTTTGTACGTTTTGTAAGTAGGATAATTCTGAAGAGATTGTTCGTATTGCTGCAAGATTAGAGAGAAATTCTAACTGTTCAGTAGATAGATGTCAAAGAACGAGCAAATTTTGAGAGACTTCCTGAAGAAGGGAGATAACAAGAAGTGTTTCGTGTGTGGACAGAATGTATGAACTGCAGTGAGGGTCGATTGAATGTAGGGTCCTCAGTATATCGTAACGGATTTCTATACAGTGGTGTGCAACGCGTGCAGCGGCTTGCAGTAGGTGTCACATCCCGTTATCTTAGGATAGTCGTGAATTTGGTCATTTTGTGAAGCACATTAGTCTCGGAACCTGGACGAAGGATGAGGTCGAGAAGGTGCTCGCTGGAGGAAACAAGGTATCCGAAGTACGTTTTCCTCAGCGCTAGAAAGCCGCGAAGAAATGGTTGGCGACGTACAATCCCAAGAAATTCCCGCGCCCAGAGCCCTCTGACAAGTCCCGTTGCCGACAGTTCATCCAGAAGTGCTTCATCGACAAGGCCTGGACGGAAGGCAACGACGACAGTGAGGACGAAGCTCCCCGCAAGAAGTCTCGTCGTGTCGAAGTCTCCGACGACGACGACGACTTCGAGCCTCGCCGCAAGCCCAAAGCCCGCCGTCCGCAAGTGTCGGATGACGACGACGAGGACGATTTCGAGCCTCGTCGCAAGCCCAAAGGCCGTCGACCGCAGGTGTCCGATGACGACGACGACTTCGAGCCGCGTCGGAAGCCGAAAGGTCGTCGTCCGCAAGTGTCGGATGACGACGACTTCGAGCCGCGTCGTCGGCCCAAGGCGCGCAACAACGACGTGTCGGGCGACGAGGACGACTTCGAGCCTCGCCGCAAGCCGAAGGGCCGTCGACCGCAAGTATCGGACGACGAGGACGAGGACGAAGCGCCTCGCCGAAAGGGCAAAGCGCCCGCGAAGAGTCCTGCGAAGGGACCTGCGAAGAGTCCTGCGAAGGCACCCGCGAAGAGTCCTGCGAAGGGACCTGCAAAGGGAGCGATGAAGGGAGCGGCGCGCAAGGGCCGCAAGGGAGAAGAGGAGGAGGACGCGCTGGAGGAAGCGATGGAGCTGACGCCGAGGGAGGATCACTTCCCGAGCGAGCTGGGATTCGACTTCACGGCCGCGCGGAAGTCGCCCAAGCCGGAGAGCGACGGGTTCGGCGCGCTGCGCGCTCTGGGCGAGCAGCAGGGAATGCAGGGCATGCAGGGATACGGCTATCCCCCGCAGCAGGGCTATGGATATCCCCCGCAGCAGCAGCAGGGAATGCAGGGATATGGTTATCCCCAGCAGCAGCAGGGATATGGACAGCAGCAGGCCATGCAGGGATATGGTTATCCTCAACAGAGCCCTGGTATGCAGCCCGGTTATCCTCAACAGAGCCCTGGCATGCAGCCTGGCTATCCTCAGCAATCTCCTGGCATGCAGCCTGGTTATCCTCAACAGAGCCCTGGCATGCAGCCTGGCTATCCTCAGCAATCTCCTGCTATGCAGGGCGGCTATCCTCAGCAATCTCCTGCTATGCAGGGCGGTTATGGCTACGGGCAGCAGCAGGGAATGCAGGGCGGCTATGGCTATGGCCAGCAGCAGGGAGGCTATGGAAATATGGCGTACAACAACAACAACGCCCCCGCAGAGGAGTTTGCGTGGTAAAGAGTGTGATTGTCTCGAATTGTATGGATGGATCTTGTTTGTTGGCACAAACACTCGCAAACACTAGAATCCCCAGTTGAACGCAACCAAGAGAACCAGCACCGCCCAAGTCCAAAGCGCATGACGAGGCAGAATCGGCTCATCGGTACAGAACTGCTTGTCCACACCAGGCAGCATTCCGTCCGTCTCCTTCAATCCCTGCTTCTTGTTCAGCGTCTCCTCCGTCTTCTTCCACACCGCGCGGACGTGCTCGAACCACTCCTCACGCGTCTTGAACTGCTCCGGGTGCATGACTTCGGACACGCAGCAAGTCAAGTTCACATTGCGATTCACTTTCAGATTGATTTCGTCCAGCAATTCTTCCTATTTCTCAGCCCCTCACTTATTCAACCCACCTTTCCAAGCGTCAAGACGCACTGGCAGGGAATCTTCAGGTTGTACGCCACTTCCATCACGCCCGTCTTCAGCGGCAGCGAGCCGTTCTCCTTGAATCGGTGGCCTTCCGGGTACACCACACATCCCGTATTGGGGCTGAGCGTCATCTCGATCCACAACCACTACCGCACGGACCACTTGCGGGCGAAGAACTCAGTGAACCAGTTGCGGTTGATGCCTCGCTTGCGATGGAAGAACCACACGAAATTGAAGAGGTAACCGCACAAGCAAGGGCCAGGAACGCCAACAATGACCCCATAGCGAGAGAGATAACTCGAACCACCGGTCATGTAACCATCCATGAAAAAATCAGTCCAGGAACGGTGGTTGGCGAAGAACATCGTCTTTCCGGGTCGAATAGGCTGAGACTGTTTCACGGTGTAAATCTTGGGGGCGAAAAGATCGGCAACCTGCAAATCAAGGGTTTACTCAAATCCTGCCTTTTTACAAATGACATACGCACTTCCCTTACCCTTCAGCAGACATGTAAAAGCATAACTATCAGTTTGAAGGGAAACATCGTACATACTAAAAGCACAACAAATTCACATAGAATATAGCGAAAATTGTGCGAATGCCATCGTAGATCCTCGACATATTGAAAGCCATTGTATGAAGAACGATTTTCTACTACGTAGTTGTTTTCAGTATTCAAACTCCGCGTATTTACATTTCTATTCTGTAACATTATCATGCCTACTAGGAGTAGCGGGTTCTTCTGCCGTATGTTTCTCATTCTCTTGCGATAATATGCAGGCATGAGCATGATCACCAAGTTTGTCGCGTTGGGTCTATTTCTAATATCTCTGTCATTCTTTCTAATTATTTATCAGCTCGGCCACAGATTTTCAACGATGAGTTCAGCAGCAATGAAAGCGTAAAGTATTTAGATGTTTTCGAACTTGTAGTCGTGAAGGCCAAATGAAACAGTTTTTTTCTCCTTTTAGTTTTTCTATTTCGGAGACAGTATCGCTTCTTCCCAGGTAATGTACTGATCTTTGTTTTAACTAGTGCTACCTCTGGAATTCTGCTTGACGGAAAGAATCCATACAAAACGGATGTTTCTTACGATAATCCGTTTTTAACTGTTTTCCTGTGCTCTCGTTCTCAGTGTAGATAATGTTCTGGGTATACGTTGATTCGCGAAACACAGGAGAGCGAGCTTTTATTTTTGGCAATCGCGAGCTTGGCTGTATAACATACCTGAAGTCGATCGGTTTTGCGATTTACTACGAGTCTGAAGGCAGGTATTCCTCCCTTTCTCTCTCTTCCCCAAGTAAAATTGTAGTCACCTGGCGCGGTCGAGAAGACAAATGTCCCGTTTTAGTCATAGCGAAGGGTGTTAAGTGATTTCCCCGTTTCTCTCTCTTAACCCGCAGAACGAACGCCTGGACACACGTTGCAATCACGATGTACACGACGGACGCAGATTTCGACACAGCGTTTGGTGAGGAAGAGATCATCATTTCATGCAGAGGATGTCGTGTATCCGATGAATGCAGATTTCTATATTAACGGAGTGAAGTCGACGTCTGCGTATTCGCTGCGATTCATCGTGGATACGTACAAACCGTACATCGTGGGAGCATCGCCTTCCGGAAAGGACGGTTTTGTGGGAAGAGTGTTCTATTTGATGGTAAGAGTGAGGGAATGGAGTGATGGAAAGGTGGTGAATTATGATCTGAAACGAGAGACCATTCGAGCGGTGTACAAGGGAGATGGGTCGGTGATTAGCCAGATTCGGAATCAGGCAGTGTTGGTGATGGGAACGAATGAGTATGATATTGGAAATACTGGATATTGAGGAATACTTTGTGGTGTGATTACTTGTTTGTTTGTTTGTTGGATTCACTTTTGTGTATGGGTTTTGTGGAGAGTGAGGGAAGGAAGAGAAAATATGGGATATATTTATGATTGAGGTCAATAGATAGGAATGTTCACAATTTTGGAAGTTTATGATGTTCGGAAGAACAGAGGATAGTTTGAAATAACTCTGATGATTAGCACAAGGCATACAGGAACTACCACAACAATGAATGAAGATACTCCACAATAGTTATCCAGAGTATGAAAAGTCGATATACCAATTCTAACACAAAAAAACAATAAAGAAGAACCAAACATTTTCTTCTTTTTGTTTACTCTTATCACTCGATTTATCACCATTCTCAACCTATCAATATATAAGTAATTAAGAGCAACACCATAAGATAATCGATGTACTACTTACTATACAAGTATCAAAGGAAAGAAGCTTTTTTTTTAATTTTTCTTTCTTTTCTTTGTTTGTTCGTAGAGAAATGGATGCTGATTGTATATTTAGTCAATTCATATTAGGGAATAGCTCCTATGAACCAATTGAGAGGGACCAAATACTTACTTGATGGTTATTGTGCCCTTGGCGAACCAAAATACCTCGTAAAGAAGGGCGTAAAGTACACTTTCCAACGCTTTCAGGGAGAACATAAAAACGAGTTTCTGTTGCGTTCTCGAAATGGCGACGTATTCCTGTTTGAAAACAACGTATTGAAGCAGAAATGGAAGGAGAATGAAAGTGGACAGAAGTCGGACGAATTTATTGCGTACCAAAATGGCCGAGTTGATTTCCGACAACGTTTCCAAGATATTTACGAACAGCGAGATTTTTGCTGTATTGTGAACCATGGGAATGGACTTCGCATGGAAATCTGGTCAATGAAAACGGGTCTATTAATATATCACGGAGGATTCAATGAGCAACGTCAGAAGGAAGGCTGGGGCATTGAATATGACGAGAATAGTGGAAAAGTGATTTTGGAGGGTGTTTGGAGCAATGGACTATTGAAGGAAGTCGTTCGACTCTTTAACGAAGATACAATGACCGAGCTGAAAAGAAACGGAGAAAATAGTTTGGATCCCGTCAAGAGAATTCCGATCTATGTTGGTGGATATCGCTATGATCCAGAAACGGAATTATTTTATCGTGAGGGCGTGGGCTGTTTGATTGACGGAATGAGCGGCGTCGCCTATCGGGAAGGCGAGTGGAAAGATGGAACGGAAGTGTGTGGAAGAGATCTGCTTGATGGATGGTACAATCCCAAAGCGAAGCTTGCCTTCACCACAACTGTCGTTCCGAAGTCAGGACCAAAGCCTGCATCGGTTCCTGATCTGAAAGTGAATGTAAATGCATCAATGGAATTGAATCGATTGAGTTTGCAAGTGACGGAATTGGTGATTTCATCGAATTGCTGCAACGATCTGGATGCATTGGATTTGAGCAAGTTCGAATGGCTGCGGACGATTGAAATCGGTGATGGGTGTTTTGAGTCGGTGAAGACGTTCAAAATGGATGGATTGAATCGATTGAAGAGTTTGAAAGTCGGAAAGAGTTCGTTCACGCAAGTGAAGCAAGAGGAATGGGATTTGAGTTGGGACCAAGCCTATCGGCAGGCAAACAATTCGTCCAAATCATTTCATCTATTGAATTGTGAATCGTTGAAATCCATTGAAATCGGAGAATATAGTTTTAGTGATTTTGGAGGTGAGTTTGAGTTGAAAAGTCTGCCTGCATTGCAAATCCTCGTCATTGGCGTTCCTGGTAAATTGTCGAGCAATTTTTGGTGGAGTTCATTTGTGGTTCAGGGTATTCGAAGGGTGTTGAGTGTGATGAACTAGATCTTTCGAATCTCAAAAATATCAAGTTGGGCAATTGCTCTTTTTGTTTATCCTCCACAACAGTGATGGAAAGTATTGAGCGAATTGAACGAAGTGATGATGAATAGATCTTCCGTCATTGCAATCCATTGAGCTTGGCTGGTGTGCTCTTGAGGGAAAAGATAATGATGTTGTATGCTCGTTGCGATTGCGAAGTAGAAAGGAGGTGAATTGAAGTGATGGGATGTAGATCTTCCAGATTTGCTGTCCATTAATTCTATGGAGTACAGCTTCTATAATCCTCGTACTGTGAAACTGGAAAGTGCTTTGTGATGGTGGCTAGTGATAGGATTTAGATATTCCGAACCTTCAGAATGTGAAATTGCCTCAAGCCTTCAAGAAAGTGCAAACAAAATCCATTTTCAGTAATTTGCTTTTGGAGGATTCATTTTATCATAGATGCTTCTTCCAAGCTCGCGAATCTTGTTAAAACGAGTATTTGAGTCGATTTTATAAGGTAAGGGTGTGTGTTATTGTATTCCAATCGTTGTATGTTTGTTTATTATCTTTTATCTTTATTCTTTTTTATTTCGAGCAAACACTTTCCCCATTATTTTCTCTTTTGTTTATTGGGTCTGCGATTCTTCCCATCGCAAAACGAACTCTTAAGCCATCAAGCACAATCGCAATCTATTATTCACAGCAGCACAATAAAGAATCGCTGTGCTTTGAGAGCAATTGGCCTATCTCCTCTCCATTCTCATCGTTATCTTCAAACAAACACTCCATTTTACATTTCCACTAGGCTCATCCACTTCCATCTCTTCCTCCGAGTCATCGCTCCCATCTTCCAAATCCAGCTGTGGATTATAAAAATACTTGGCCTCCGCCTCGAGCGGTCGCAGCACATGCAGCGTGCACAGCAAATCGCCGTCCACGCTGAGCATCGCTCCCGAGTTGGTCAGCATGCCTCCATAATTGGGCGCGGAGAAGATAGTGAGCAGTCCTGTGTCCGCGAAGAACTCGTACCCATCGTCCACGACTTGGTGCGCTCGACAGATCAGATCCAGGTGGAACTTCTCGAGGAAATCGAACACCACTTCCTCCGAGAACGTGTAGCTCACGCCCCGCTCGTTCGGACACCACCGCTCCGTCTGGTTGCGCTTGGGGTCCGACCAGAGCAGGTCGCAGACCAGGCCCTCGTCGGGAACGTCGTAGGGACGCTCGATCGAGGCGATGTCGGAGATGGCGCGAATGTAGGGAGAGAGACCTCCGTGCGTGCAGAAGATCCGAGTTCCGATAAGAGCACAGAGCGGAAGGTAACGAAAGCATTCGGAAAAACGAGTATAGAGGTTCGGACTGTAACGCCGGTAGCATTCCTCGCAAAACCCGTACAGCTGATTCATTGTGTCCGTTTCGTGATTTCCGCGAAGCAGGAACACTTTGTTTGGGTACTTCACTTTCAGGGCAAAGAGCAGACATAAAATCTCGATGCTGTTGGATCCTCTGTCTACGTAGTCTCTAAAAAGAGAGTCGAAAATACAGATTTCGTACCCCAAAAAGAGATAATTCACTTCGGGAGGATACCCGTTGAGTTGGAACAACCGCAACAGGTCATAAAACTGACCATGGACGTCACCTGCAAAATAAGAGACCCAAAGCACTCCATACCACAAATGTTGATCGGTCCATCGAGCTCTAACAATATTGGTTGGCTTAGGAATACTTTTATCACTTCATCAATTAATAATACAATTTGATTCTCGTCTAAATTGATTTCGGTTCCAGAGGGCTTCATTCGGGCATCCGTTAGCTTCTTTATAATTAAATCTACATCAAGTTCCTGTTTCCAGTCTTCATCGCTAGAATAGGCTTCTTCATTCTTCGAAAAATTTGACATTTTGTTTTAACAATAAATATATAATATAGAGTTGGGAGAATTTCAGAAACTTCTGTGCCGCCCAAATTAAATATGACAAAAGTAAAGGCGAATACCAGTGACAGAAATCCTCCTTTTTTTATTCGCTTGTGCCGGGAGTTTCACTACGGATAATAGTTCCTATTTATGGAGTGGGAAACAACAATGGCAGTATTGGAAGAAATTTCAATTCTTAGTGAAGCGAATCGATGTACAATACCAAGATCTTTTTGCCAAAGGGAGTAAAGTGCTCCTTTGTAATTAATCGGAAGCTAAGTACGATTTCGGAAATTAACCGTGAAAATTAGAATGTACCGACGAGATGGCCAGAGAGGAGGAGCAAGCTGAGAGGATTCTGTACTTTATTCCAAGTGATACACCTTTGGTGGATCAGGTCAAATATGCGAATATTGCTGATGCGATGATTGAGTTTTCATCTTCATTTGACGACGATTCCTATGTGAATACTGTTAAGACGGATTCGTGCACGTTTGTTTGCGTTTTTCGTGTCATTCCAAGCTACTATTTCTCTAGATGGGAGCCGGACACATGGTTTGTGATGGTTTTGTATCGTTCTCAATATCGTTCTGTTGCTTCTCCGTTTCCGTCTTATGTATAGCGCACAGGAGCGGAGCTGAACTCCTCCTTTTCTCCGGATATCGTTCTCTCGGTGATGAACAGCATCTACAATATCTACACCATGTTCTACGATCCGATCGAGCCGCTTCTCTACAGTGCGTCTCTCCCACTCCACCTTCATATTCCTAGAAGAAACCGAGGACCACAAGATCATCATCTCCGAGCTGATCTCCACCAAAACCGCGATCCACAAGCTCCAGTACGAAGAGGACTGCGCGCAGAACGGCTACATCGCGGCCTCCGCGGGCTCTACGGACGACCGCCAATCGGCGATCAGCGCGCTGCAATCGCGCGTCGAATCCTTAGAATCGCAATCCGCCGCTCCTCAAATCCGCCAGTCGATCCACCGAATCATGCGGAAGTGTCTGATCTACGAGAACTGGGAGCAGCTGCACTGCCTCTACGTACGGTTCCGCGGGGAGGCTGCGTAACGCGCAGGCGATCGACGGGTTTCTGCCGCTGTCGGTGGAGAAGCCGGTTGCCGCGGAAATCTTCACGCTGATGAACCAGGTGGGGGAGCAGTTCGCGTCGCTGCGGTACGCGTGCTTCCTCTTCGACGGGTACTTCGTAGTGGAGGATGGAGGGCGTGAGGCGAAGGTGTGGTCGGACATCGCGATGGAGAACCTCAATCTGCTGCGGCATTTCCACTTGACCAATCAGGGTGCGTGCTTTTTCCCGGAAATTTCCTGAAGACCAAACGCAGAACGAGCAGCAGAAGGGATTCCTGATGATCGACACCGTCGAATTGAGCGGGGTTTGTGAGGATTAGGAGGGATCGCCGGTCACCACGCTCTCGCTTCGCGTTCCCAACGACGTCGGCGAGCTGCAGCGCGAGTCGTTCCGCCTTCTTCGCTATGTGGTACCCCTGTTTCCACGATTGAGGAGCGCAGCAAGGCCGGATCACGCTGCTTTTGCTGTTCGACGAGCGTTTCGAGGCGTCGGAGGACCACTTGAACACGTTCCGCAACGCTTTTTCGAAGGCGTTCGGGCAGCACTGCTTCCTTCTGAACCAGACGCTGGCGGCGAGCCGGAAGCTCCCGTAGAATTCGATGGAATGCGTGATGCAGAGTGCGGTCGACGGACAATTACGTGCTGTTTTTCTATGAGAACGCGACGAAGACGCTGCAGACGAACATCGACGTGCCGTGGAAGGACAGCGTAGGCGTGGAGGAGGCGTGGGAGGATAGAAGGGAATGCGGAGATTGTCGCCGATCTCGCCGGCGGCGATGTTGGAGGCGATTCCGGCGTGTATGGCGTTCCCGATGGACTCCGTGTACGCAAAACTGAAGAACGCGAAGAGCTTCGTGGAGACGGTGGAGCGTGTTAGGGAGCTGGATTGGATCTATGGGTGTGTGCAGAACCAGGATATGTTGTTTGTGCTGGTGAACACGACATCGAGGACGACGATTCGGGATGTGGTGAGTAGGGGCAGAGAGGGAGTGGTTGAGGGTAGATAATGTGCATCGGATTGTGGCGGAGCAGTTTAGAAGTTCGTTCACGCTTCTTTGAGTGGCTGGAGTGTTTGTTATATAATTGTTGATTGTGTGCTTTACTTTGAATAATTGTGAATTGTCGAGATGGAATTTGCTCCTCAGAAAGAAACTCCGATTACTATGGAGCGGCTGGAGTGTGCTAGGATGATGGGGTTGACGGACTAGAAGTCAGTACCAACTGCTGCAAAAGCTGATAAAGAAAAGCGGGAAAAAGGTAGACAAGGAAATAACTTCATTGTTGAAAGAGTTTGCCGAAATCCTAGTCCATGGAGAATCGATGAGTGAAGAATTTTTTGAGTAGATTGCTGGGGATTGCAGATGAGTTCTAGCTTTTTCTTGGAAGAACGTATGCTGGGGGATATAATTGGGATCATCTCTCAGAAGCGTTCGAAAGAGACCAAAGTCCAGGTCATCCAAACAATTAGTATTCTAGTTCAAAACATTCGCGATGAAAAGTCTCTCTGTAGCGTATTCCCACGAATCATGACGTTGCTAGACTTTATTCTGTCGAACAATCACATCAACAGCATCATAACAGCGGATCTGGATTTTCGAGATGAAGACATTGTGTCTCAATATATTTCCTTTATGAAGGTACTTTCCCTGTCCATTAACGAAAAAACAATACACTTCTTTCACAACAACGTTCTGCTTGTTTTCCCTCCTTTTCGCTTAGAAAGATCCCACAAATCCCTTTCCACTCTTTACCATTTGTGCTAAATTTTTTGATCATCCGGAAGGAATGGTTCGCATTGCTGTGCGCACAATCATGTTTAATTGTCTTCGAGGTTGTTTCCACCCACTTCTTTCTCTGTAGTCAAAGATGAGCAATTTATGGGGCAGCAAGAGCCGCAGCGATTCTTCCGACACCTCGTGTATTACGTGATCTCGCTCATTGCGACTCTCAACATTCTTTGCATTAACAAACAATTCAAGCAGGCGACGGAGATCGCGCAGAACGTCTCGGATGAGTTTCTCGTGTTGAGCGATTTGATGCAATGCGGCGTGAAATGTGTGGAGGAGTGCGTTCGCACCACGCTGCTGCGCAGTTTACTCCACCGCTTCTGCTTCCCCGTGATCTACAACGCAGTGTGTCCCGTGACGCAGCCGGTGCATGTAGGAATGGGGAAACCGTGGAAATCAGTACGACCTCTCGTTGCGATGCTCGCTCTTTGCGTTGACACTGCTTGTCGATTCGATGCGATGCATATCCCAAGAGAATGAATGAATTGAATGAATTGAATGAATTGAATGAATTGAATGAATTGAATGAATTGAATGAATTGAATGAATTGAATGAATTGAATGAATTGAATGAATTGAATGAATTGAATGAATTGAATGAATTGAATGAATTGAATGAATTGAATGAATTGAATGAATTGAATGAATTGAATAAATTGAATAAATTGAATAAATTGAATGAATTGAATGAATTGAATGAATTGAATGAATTGAATGAATCATTGAATCATTGAATCATTGAATCATTGATTGAGTCATTACTTGAATGAATTGAATGAATTGAATCCAATGAATGCATTAAGTGAATCCAATGAATGAATCATTTCTTGGATCAATCAATCAGTCAATCAAATAGTTGACCCTTCTACATCTCATTGAATCATCAAATCATTCATTTCCTCCTCCTCCCCTTTTTTGTTTCCTTCATTCGTGTACCCCGAGATCGTTCAGCACGTTCTCCATTTCTTCCTCCACTCCGTCGATCCCCACTCCTCTTCCCCCATCGAAACCCATCCCATTTCCACCTCCTCGTTTCCACGTTTCCCCATTCTAACCCCCAGTCCTCGCACCATTTCCCTCTTCAACGGAACGCAATCCGTTCCGCTTCTCCAAGTCTCCGTTTCCCCTGTTTCCCCTTTTCACTCCCAGAATTCCCCGCGGCCCTCCGGCAAATGGCAAGTGGTCCGCACGCTGCAGCGCCGCCCCAGCAGCACGCGCGACGTCGTCAAAGTGGAGGAGCCCAACGCGCAGCCCTGCGCCGAATCCCCCGAATCCCCGTTTTTGTCGCCTGCTTCCATCGGCAACGGCGAAACGGCGCTTTGGAGCCGGCTGCTGGCGCGCAGCGACGATCCGCTCGAGAAAACGCAGCTGCTTCTGAGCCTCGCCGCGCTGATTCGCTGGGAGTCGAAGCAGAAACCGACGAGTCCCGCGGTTTTGGCGCGGTTTCTGCGGGAGGAAGAGAATTCGATAGAGAAGGAAGTGGAGAATTTGGCGGGGAACGAAGAAAGCGCGCCGCTGCTGGTTCGCGTGGCGTTGGATTCGTTGGAAAGCGTGTGGAATTCGACGAATTCGAAATCGAAGGAGGCGAAGCGCGCCTGGCTGGAATCCGTGCTAGAATCGCGGTTTTCCGCGCTGCGATCGCTGCTGGATTCGGTGCAATCGACGAGTTCCGCGATTCGAACGCCGCTGACGCGCGTTCTGATGTTTCTTCGCGCCTCCGCGCCGATTCTCTTCGACTCCCCGCCCGCTGCGCGGCAACTCGCCTTCGTCCCGTCGCTCTTCACTCCCGCGGAAATCTTCTGGCGCAAGGTCATCACGGATGCCGCCATTCTTCGCGCCAAAAACGAAGTTTTGAATTCCACCGAGATCGAAGACCGCGAAAAGCTCGGAATTTATCGAATTCCATCGAACGACTCGGCGGAATTCGCGCCGATTTTCGAGAACGCGCTCTTCAGTCGGTTCTACGTGGGTTTCTCCGTTTGGTTCCACGATAGGCCGCGGTTTATCTGCTCCATCGCTGCAGACTGCGCAGTGCCGAGACGAGCGAGCCATTCCCGCGGGTCGAGCGCATCCTGGACCGGCTGCGGGCGTTTCCAGTGCTGCAGACGGTTCCATTGGATGAACGAGTTCGGCTGAGCCGGCAGATGGAGTACGTGGTGTGCAACGTGGTGCTTTTCCCCGCGAGTGTGTTCCCTGCGAGCGTCGCGAAGCTACAGAATCGGCTGGGTGATCGGGTTTTTAACATGCCTGCGTATCTGTTTGTGGGGGAGTCGCAGTGCGGCGTGGTGGAGGTGCAGCGCGGCGATTTGCTGACGGGCCATGTGCGGTTCGTAGTGAAGTGGATCGATGTGCTGGACGTGATGATCGCTGAGAAGATCCCGCGATGCATGGTGGTTGCTGTAGAGCAGACGGAGAGAGAGTGAAGGGTAGGTGCGATCGACGGAGGATTTGCAGTTGTGCGTGAATTACCCGATCCAGAGAGAGGTGTTGGAGAGAAGTGTGGACAAACGGTATAATGTGCGAAGTGTGCTGTGCATTCGATTCGCTTCTTCTAAAATGTGTCAAAAGATCTGTACGAAAATAATGAATAAACGAAATGCCTATTTTGAGGCTGCTCGAAAGCGCATTATGAGTTTGATAGATGAATGGTACTGTTTGTTGAATACCTTACGTTTTCCAAAGCGCAAATTCGAATCGATTTGACTGGATGAGAATAAAAAAGGATAGGAAATTAAGAATAATACAATTGAATTACTACTCTAACAGCATTAAGCTAATCATATCGATCCTCCCGATGAACGAAGTATTCCGTAAAATAAGCAGTGAATATGTCATTCCGAAAAAAAGAATCAAGAAGAATTGTCAAGAATCGGTTTCAAACAATCAATCAATCAATCAATTACTTAAATAACCAAAATGATCCAATGCAATGACGAGTCTTTGAAATTGTCAATCAAATCAAATCAAAAGGATTGATATGTCTCTTGAATTAGTGTACAAGATCAGCGAGAATGGAAGAAACATCTATGAATCAAATCAAATCAATCAAACTATACTCGAAATTGATTTCGATCGAACTTCTCCAAATATATGACTTACAAACTGACTACCAGGTAGATTGACATTATGTAAATTCGTAATATCTAATACTATCAACTATTATTGTTGATAACTACTTTCCAATGTCACTACACGTGGATAGAAGAAACTACCCCATCCCTTAATATTGATGGATGTTAATTTTGGAAGATCTACATTCAATCATTTCGAAACATAATATTAATACTTCGCATTGCCAGTGAACATGATTCATCATTATCTCTTCCACGAAGTGCCTCATTACCGAGTTGAATGGATTGTAATGATGGGAGATCTACATCAATAATTTCATTCAAATTCATTCAATACTTTCAATTATTGTTGTTAAGGATTCACGGAATGCTTCATAACCTAATGTAATGGATTGTAGATTTGGAAGATCTATGCATTATTCAAATATTCAATATCAATACCTCGAATCACAAAGGAACTAAAATTAAAATTGAACGATCGATATCCAATTGTGCCGATTTGGATAAATCGTAATTGTGGTAGATTCTTTAATTCAAAGTCGCCAGCATAATCACTGAAACTATATTCACCAATTTGAATGGATTCCAATGATTCACAATTCAATATGTGGAATGATTTCCATTCTTTATTTCCCCAAATATTCCTATCCTGAGTGAATGAATTCTTTCCGATTTTGATAGTTTTCAATCGATTCAATCCATCGATTTTTAATGTTTTCACTGATTCAAAACATTCATCGCCGATTTCGATTGATTCCAAATTATACAACAATGAAACATCCCAATCAACCAATACACAATTGTCAGTCAGTTTCAAATGTTTCATTCTGATATTCAGTGGTTTGCTTCCATCGCCTTCATATTTTTCATCAATATCACATTCAATTCCATTATACCATTCACATTCATTTAATTTTCTTTTCTTACGATCATAGACTTTTCCACTTCCAAATCGATTATCATCACACCAATATCCTTCATATTCAATACAACCATTATTATGATAACTCGTTCCATATCCAAATCGTTTCCAATTGATCATTATGCCCTTGTACACCAAGAATCCATCATCATCATACATTTCACCATATCCAAATGGAATTCCACTTTTACCTTCTTTTTCTTTTTCTGTCAATATCAATCCTTCAAATCGACTTCCATGATCCAAATCCACGATTCCTTCCACTACTTCTATGGATTGTTCTTCATTATATGAAACAGCACCAATTTGGTGATTTCCAAATACTTTCAACACTTTCTGCTCATTGACCACAAATCCTTGATTCATAAATACTCCATTATTGAATTGCAATACTATACATTCTCTATTACTCAACATGAGTGAAATCCAGCCATTTGGTTTCATTTCATTATCCAAGCATCCCTGCACATTTTGAATCATAGAACTATCAATATGACAGTTACTAATAGCAGAATTGACAAAATCAGCAATGTTTTGCATCGCAATAAAATGTAATTTGGATAATCTATTTTGAAACAAGATCTGTTTCATTATTTCTCGATAGAACACACATCACAAATTATACTGCACCACACTGAATTATATATGTGTTATAAACTGAAAGAATAGAAAGAATTTCATTTTCTCCAATTTTGTTCGCTTTCTCAATTGCATATTGCTTTTTTGTCCACTTAGTATTGCGATATTACTATGTACTTTTAGTCTTGATAATAATACATTTCGCATTTTTCCTTTTTTTTCTCGAAATGACTGTCTTAATAAATATGTAATGATTCTATTTGTTTCAGGATAGTGAAAAATAGAATGGAATTATTTTTTTGTTTCATTCGAGTACAACATAGCAACTACAATAAAAATGTCTAGATTTACATAATACTATGGCTATCAAATGAAGAAAATAAAGTTCATAACTTCTATTTGACAAATGGATTATAGTATTGATTCTCCGTTGATAAAACTATTTCCTGTCAGCACAATCATCCCCCATATATTTGACAGTGAATAATATTGTAGAGATAG